AGGGCAAATTCGCTCTTGGACAGTTTGACGTAAAAACGTTCCCGTCGAAGAATTTCGAAGACGCGTTGCAGGTGTTCGACGTGCTGCTTCATGTCGCGCGAATAGATGAGGATGTCGTCCAGGTACACCACCACGCATTCATCCAGAAGTGGTCATAGAATGTGGTTCATTTCGGCTTGGAATGTTGCCGGCGCGTTGGTGAGTCCGAATGGCATGACCAAATACTCGTACGATCCGTACCGAGTTCGAAAAGCAGTTTTGTGGATAGAGTTGTCCGCCATCCGTATCTGCCAGTATCCGGACCGCAGATCCAGTTTGGAAAATACCGTAGCTCCCCGAAGCTGGTCAAGCAGGTCATCGATTCGCGGTATCGGATATTTATTCTTGATGGTCTGCTTGTTAAGAGCTCGGTAGTCGATGCACATGCGCAGGCTTCCGTCCGGTTTCGGGGTGAAGAGTACTGGGGCACCGTAGGGCGAAGTGGATGGCCGGATGAGTCCTTTGGCTAGGAGATACTCGATCTGTTTTTTCATGTCAGTCAGCTCCGTAGGGCTGAGCCGGTATGGTGCTCGGAAGGTCGGCTTCGAACCCGGTTCCTCCACGATCTCGTGTTGATGCGTTCGGTACGGCGGTAGCTCGTTCGGAAGATCGTCAGGAAGAATGTCTTGGAACTCCTTCAATAATTCCTTGATTTTTTCTAGAGGTTCCGAGGCTTCCTCTCCGTCATTCTCCACCTCTGTTGCTATCGCCAGGAACCCTGTGTCGGTCCGCTTCACGTCCTTCTCGAATCGTGCGAGCGTCTCTACTGGGATATCTCCAGTATCGTTCCAGTTGGGTAGCTGTACTCTCCATCCATTGTTGTAGATGCTTGCGGTGCGGTTCACCCAGTTGATCTCGGGGTTGAATCTTTTCAGGAAGTCTCGCCCGAAGATCAAGTCAAGCCCTTTGATGTTAGTGATGGGGAGTGCAGGTCTCCAGCGCAGTGGTCCGATTTGTAGATGTAGCACTGCTTCGCCGTATACTGGTAACTTGCTGCCGTCCACCATCGTTGCAGAGAATCCTGAAGGCTTGTACTCTTCCCGAAGTCGGTCGATCATTGCCTTGTCGCAGACGGTGTGTGACGCTCCGCTGTCCACGAGTGCTTGGAGGCGTCGTCCTTTGCAGATGACCTCGAGCACGAGGGGCAGTCGTTGCTCGGAGTACCCAAAGATAGTTTCATTGATTGGGTCATAGGGTACATCCCAATATTCCGTACACACCTTTGTGTTGCTGTCTACTCCTGAGTTGGCAGCTGGCCGAGGCTGCTTGGAGAACGGCTCTTCTCCAGGGCCCGGAGTTTCCCTGACGACTGTGCGCGTCACTGGTGCCGAAGAACTGGATGCATCCGTAGGAGGAGTTCGGGGTTTGTGCAGCTTCTTGTAGACCCCCAGCTTCCTCTTGAGCTGCTTCAGCTCCACCGACGTCTCCCCTGGGGAGCGGGTAGTCGTTGTGGGCTGGTATCGGGAGAGGACGTTGACTCCGTGGAAAGGTCGGCTTCTTTCCACACTCCTTAATTTGGTCCCCAAGTTGTCCGGTACCGGTATAATCTCCACAGTTGTCTGCTTCTTTTGGAGTCCCTCCCGAAATTTCTCCAAGGCTCTAGCCCCTCGAACATCATAAGTTTTCATTAAAGCATCTTTATAAGATAACTTTAACGAATTCTTATAATTTCTTGGGTCTTCAAGGAGTTTCCCTGTCTCGGCAGAGTCTTTTTTCGCGGAGTCGTATTTTTCCTCGGCGATTTTCCCTGGCGAAGACTGGTCGTGGGGTGGAGATTTTCCCCCATCATTTCCTCCTTCTCCCGTCGAATCAGCTTCGTCGAAGTTGATTTTCCCGGAATCCCGCGGCCGTTTTCGGATCTTTACTTTTTCGCCAGCTAGATCCGCAATCACTGGCGACTCCCGTTTTTTGTCTTCTGATTGGCCGAAAGATTTCCGCTACTGTTGCGTGCCCGATACTCTGCGCGTGCGGCCTTCATTTTGTTGCAGTCGAAGATTCGGTGGCCCGGCACCCCGCAAAAATCACACGTGTAGTTGGTGTTTTTCGGACGTGGCCGCCCCTCGAATCTGTCGACTTCCATCGGGTCGGCGAACGTGGGGTGAGCCGAGCGGTCGCCCTGTCGCGTACTGCCGACGTGCGTCCGTCGTGTTCCGGCGTTGACCATGTCGAAGCGCTCCGCTGCCGAAACGACGTCACTGTAGCTCGCGTAGTTTGACGCTGCGACTTGTCGTTTGACTTCGGTCTTCAGCCCTGCGAGGTACGATTGCACTTTTTTTCCTTCGGTCAGGTCGGGAATTCGGTTATAAAATTCTTCCATCTGCTGCGTGTACTGTGCTACACTCCCGAACTGTCGATGGCGATGAATTTTTTCGCAGGCAAGGAAACTCGAATTTATCGGTTCGAAGCGTTTCAGCAGGTCGGCGCGGAACTGCTGCCACGTGGCTTCACCGTGGATGAAAGTACTGTTGCCGCCAATCCACTCGAGTGCCGGCCCTCGCATCAGTGTCGCCGCGAGTCGTACGCGTTGACCGTCCCAGACTGGCGAGCTCCATCCGACGGCTGCGAAGTAGATCTCCATCCAGGCGATCCATCTGCGGGCGTCGGAGTTTCGATCGCTCGGATCGAACGGCTCAGGTGGGCGCGGTTTCGGAGCCTCGAGAAACTGCTGCGACTGCTGCGTCGTCGCCGTTGTCGTCTCGTGCTGCGCTCCGGCGAGTCGAGTTACTCGCTCGAACTGGTTTCGCCATGCTTCGCGATCCGCTCGCATTTCCTCCTGAAGGGTTGCGATGCGCGCGAAGAGCTGCTGGGTAACCTCGGCGTTGTCGAAGGTTGCCATCCTGTTCAAAACACGCACGGAGGGGGTAATTCGAAAATCGCGGAGCTGGTGCTTACCAGAATCGGCGTCGAATTGGTCGCCCCCGGCGGTTTTTCGGGGCAGGATCCCCCGCTGCTGCTGCTTAGCTGAGCGCGGTCGAGTGAGAAAAGCTCTGATTACCAAGTGTCACAGGATCGAATGTGTCGAGGAAAGGTTGCACTATCGATCAGTACAAGGCGCTTTTATACTTCCAGAGTACATCAGGTAACCAGGTTTATCTTATCCTAAGGAAATAGACCCTTCTAGAAGATAGAATCACCCTGCGTATAGCCACGCGAGGCTATTGGCTTTAAGGGATTACAGCAGGATTACGCTAGATAGAGCGCACCAATACATCCCAAGCCTGGTCGGTGATATAATGATAATAGCAGGATAAACCAAAGGTTAATGGAAAAGGAAGAATAGGAAACCAAATGAGATGCGGTAAAAAGAGAAATGAAAAGGGAAGGAAATAAGAAAAGGCCAAGTGGTGTAACGGGGTCGTACTCTCACAGAGCGGGCGCAGTGAGGCCAGGAGAGCGCGCCTGAGCCAGGAGGGCGTGACGGGGCCAGGCGAGCGCGGTGGGGCCAGGCGGGCGCGGAGGGGCCAGGCGAGCGCGACGGGGCCAGGAGGGCGCGACGGGGCCAGGCGGGCGCGACGGGGCCAGGCGAGTGCGACGGGGCCAGGCGGGTGCGACGGGGCCAGGCGGTCGCGACGAGGCCAGGCAGGCGCGACGGGGCCAGGCAGGCGCGACGAGGCCAGGCAGGCGCGACGGGGCCAGGCGAGCGCGACGGGGCCAGGCAGGCGCGACGGGGCCAGGTGGGCGCGGAGGTGCCAGGCAGGCGCGACGGGGCCAGGCAGGCGCGACGAGGCCAGGCGGGCGCGACAGGGGTCAGGTAGGTGCGACGGGGCCAGGCGGGTGCGACCGGGCCAGGCGGGCACGACAGGGGGCAAGGCAGGCGCGACGGGGCCAGAGGGGGGGCGCAACGGGGGCCTAGGGAGCGCGACGGGGCTAGGAGGGCGTTACGGGGCCTGGAGGGCGCTACGGGGGCCAGGAGGGGGCGACGGGGCCTGGAGGGCGCGACGGTGGCCAGGAGGGGGCGGCGGGGCCTTGAGGGCGCGACGGGGGGCAAGGAGGGCGCTACGAGGCCTGGAGGGTGCGACGGGGGCCAGGAGGGCGCTACGGGGCCTGGAGGGTGCGACGGGGGCCTAGCCCTAAGGGGGGAGGGGAGTAGCTAGGGCGTGTAGGCTAGGGCGCGGGCGGAAGCGGGTGGGCGGGTGGACCTAACCTAAGCGTGATGGCATGTTAGCATACGAGAATGGTTGATTAGAAGGTGGAACAAGGAACATATAGCTATTGGGTTGTACTCCGTAGGAGCACACACCGATACTAGCCTATAACTTCTACATGCATGACATGTATAAGTTGACACTTTACCTGCGGGAGCTGCTCGAGGAAGCGAAAATAGCGACCATGCCCGCCTTCTCGTTACTCTGCGACAACCAATCCGCAGTCAAAATCGCGAACAAAGATGGGTTCGCCAATCGAACCAAGCACATCGCCTTGCGGTATTTCTTTGTCAAGGATGAGATCGCGAAGGGGAGACTTCAACTCAGTTACTGCCCCACGACAGAAATGGCCGCAGACTACCTGACGAAGAAACTGGCGAAGGCAAAGTTCGATTACTGCATGCTGCTGACCGGGCAGATAAACGTCACCGAATCTGGACACGTCAGCACTCCAGAAACGAAGGGGAGTGTTGGAAATACCTCAAGGACTTGAGCGTTCATGAAGTGTAACACTACACTCGAGTAAAGCCGTATCGGGTATGCGAAGTCAACGGAGGTTACACAAGGAGGTTGGACAAAAGAACAGGAACGGACGAAAGACTCGAAAGGGTCGCAACCGGAGGTTGCGACTGATCGTTACAACTGCAAGGGTGGTAACCGAATTGACCATCGAGTCGAGTCGCTGTGTGACTTGATAACCATTCTTTCAACTATATTCTACAACTGCTTTACCTTCCTATTTTCTATATATTGCTGTATGCTTGTTTCTTTTAATCAATCACTTGCTCTCACATACTAGTGCAAGGGTTCAACTACTCAACTTCCGCTGCACTATTGAAGTATCTTGTACAACTGGGACTTAGTCTCTGAAAGATCCTAAGGGCTTTTTCTCGGCCCAACATATGTACAGTGGATCAATCCAACAGTGGTAAAGCATGGCCTACACCTCCTTTCTCCCCCTCTCCTCCTTTTCTCCCACCCTTCCCCCTCCTACGTACCTCCCATCCACATATCCCAATCCTATTCAGACTGCTACAACTCAGCTCTCTTATGACTTTCCAGGGATCCACTTTTCCATCTAGAACGGCACAACGTGCTCCATGAACCTTGTCCTCTCCGGCTGGACCTCCTCCTCCTCCTCCCCCCCAATCTTGCAGTTGCTCTCTGGATACGCACCGCCATCTAAAACAAAACAACCTGCTCAATGAGCTTTGCCAGTTCCGGCTCCACCTCCTCTTCCTCCTCCCCCCCCGTCTTCCTGGGTGGCAGGATGCCGTACTCAGTCTGCCTGGTGGCGCGCAGCTTCTGCAGAAGCTTCTCATCCGCGTTAAAGGCAGCCTTCTGCACGCTGTAAGGCATCATGCGGTACACTGAGTTCACCCCCGCCAGGAAGCCTGGCTGAGGGCGGCTCTTGGGAATCATGGTGATACACTCCATACCCTCACCATCAGCAATCTGCACAAAAGGGGGGAAAACAAAGCCGATTTAAACAGCACTGGGAACAACAAGGAACACTTTAAAAATACACTTTCTACATCAACTGACTGCATTGCAAATTGCAGAGAGCAAGTTCAATCAGCAATCAGATAAGCACTCACCGCAGCGTGCGGGAAGCCAGCGGGCACGACCACGAAGTCGCCCTCCTTCACGTTGTGCCTGAGCGCCTGCCTGCCATCCGGATAAGTCATCTCCACCCGTCCCTTGCCCCGCGTGATGAGATGCATAGACGCCGCGTTCGCAAACCACCTGGGCGCCGTCATCGCATTCGCTTCCAGGTTAAAACGGGCAACAGCGAAGCCCACTTTGCGGAACGCCGGGAGCTTGTATCCGTTGGCGGCGGTGATCGTCCCCCCGCACTTCACGTAGATGTCCGGCTGGCGCTGCTTGAGGTTGTAGGTGAAGTCCGCAAAGATGCTCACGCTGCGCTTGGCTCCCTTGCCAAAGTGCGGCTGGTCGTTTACCCGTGCCCCCTCCGTATCTCCACCTTCCTCCTCACGCAGCTCTGCCTGATTGAGACTGTTGGCGAGAGTTTCAAGCTCTGCCCGGAGCTGCGGAGTAACCTTGACAAAAGATGTTTCCTTCTGCCCGTCCAGCAGCTGCTGCACATCCTTCTCCTCCACGTCCCAGGCGTGAGCCAGCAGGTCGCGGCTGGTGGGGAGGGGGTAAAGGGGAGTGAGGGATAGAGGAAAGTGGAAGGGAGTATAACCAACAATCAGCACCACCCGTGCCTCAACTGCACGTCCTTTTCCTCCACATCCCAGGCGTGAGCCAGCAGGTCGCGGCTGGAGGCAAGGGGAGAGGGATGGAAGGGAAAGAAGTGACGGAAAATTCTAAGGATAACATCGAGTCCTCCATTAGCTGCAGCTCACCCCCCTCCTTGGCATCCCATGTGTGTGCTAGTAGGTCACGGCTGAGAAAGGAGACAGGGGGGGGAGATTGAGAAAGACCAGAAAAGAAGAAAATGATAAGCTCAGTTGTGGAGAAGAAACAGCACCAAGGAGAAGCCTTCATCACCACCGCAATCATCATCACTAGTGCAGCATGCCATAGCGAAGCTGCCAACACCAAGCAGAATCACCAGACACCATGCAGCACCCCTCCGAATCGCTCCTTCTGAGCGCCCATGAGGTGGAAGGCGCTATGGCGACTGGCAGCAGGGCCCTTGGACGTATCGGCGAGGGAGACAATGCAGATAACTTAATGTGGTAGAAGTGGCACACAGCAACTTCGACCAAGCCAAGGAGGCAGGACTCACCTGAAGCCGTGCAGAACACCGCCAAATCGCTCCTTCTGGGCTCCCATGAGGTGGAAGGCGCTGTAGCGGCCGGCAGCAGGGCCCTTGGACGTATCGGCGAGGGAGACAACACGCAGAGGCTGCTGGCCGTTGTTCCAGATCCAACGCGCCCACCCCCTTGGCACCACAAAGGCGTCACCCTCCCTCAGACGCCTGAGGGTAGCATGAACGAGGACAGGGAGAGGAACGTTCATGGAAACTGCTGCTGCAAAGGAGGCAATCAAATGGTAACAGCCACGCTTGAGAAAATTGGAGGGAAATGGTAAAATGCGATGGTAGATTCTTGGAGGTTACCTGAGGGTGGTAGGAGCTCCCATGGGACTGAGCAGGCCAGCCATGGCCTCGCCGCTTAACACATAGCCCACCTAAAAAAAAGGAAAAAAGCGGTAGGGCAGAGACAGAGAGACAGGCAGGCAGACAGACAGGCTGACTCGTCAGTCAGCATTCAGGGCGCCTGATAGAGTGCTTCTATGAGGCGCTTTCAACAGTGGAATGCTCCTACCCCTGACCCACTCACCTGAGCCGAATCAGAGTAGGACGGCAGCGCAAGGGACTGGCTCTCGACAGTGATCAGTGCTGCTCCCACATCCGCTGTCTGGGCGGCAGTAGTAGGCGACGGGAGGGTCAGAAGAGGCATCAAAAGTGGCAAATTAAGGGTCAGAAAAGGCAGGAGAGTATGTGAGGGGGGAGACGCCAGAAGGAGGATCACACCCCATGGCAAAAGTAGGCGACTATAACACAGGCAGACTGCTACAAGGCTGCTTTTGAAAATTCTTAAAAACACCTGCAGAATCTCTCAAACACACCCCACGGTAGATTACGAAACAGGCAGGCTGCTAAAAGAGCTGGAAGAAAGCACTCTCCTCGCCTGAAGCTGCTCTCCTCACCTGCCGCTGCTCTTAAGGGAAGGGAAGGAGTTCTCTTACCTGCAGCTGCTTGAAATCTTCGCTCCACAATTCCACGCGCCCTGTGGCAACGGCTTGAAATCTGAAGGTGATTATAGAGTCGCTCAAAAACGTTTCTCACCTGCAGCTGCTCTCCTCACCTGCAGCTGCTTGAAATCTTCGCTCCACACCTCCACGCGCCCTCCGCTGCCCCGAACCGTCTCCTTGGGCTGCCCGGGAAGAAACTCCTGCTCCTCGGCCATGGCGCCGTGCACCAGCAGCGCCGCCAGCACCGCGAAAACCGCCAGAAGCTTCCCCATGCTGCTCACTGACAACTGACTGAGGCTTCGATTAGCTCACAGGACAAAACACTCTCGCTTCAAGCGGAACCGTGCCGATTAGTGCAGACGATAAGAGGGAGGGAGGCACAAGAACGAAGGGAGAACGAGCAGGACGCGAGGTCAACCGTAAGGAGGGAGAGGAGTGGCGAGGAATCTTATACTCGGCCCATCCATCAATCCACCCGTCCGTCAGTCGGCGGCGCGACGAGCAGCAGTGGCCAGCGCAGGAGAGAACGACTCGTCCGGAAGACTCGTGCGCTCGCGGCGCCATCGCACGCCGTGCCTCGTCCCCGCCGCTGGCTCAGAAAAATACGAAATGGAAGTCCCGTCGGCCTAGCTTCTGCTACTTGTCGCGTCGCAAACACCTCGCCATCTGAGCATGGGGAAACGGCTGCCATGTGGCGTGCGGCCAAGGTTGCTGAATCAGCTCGCGTGCGTCGAGTGTCATGCGTCCCATGCCGCTGATGACTGATCCGAATACGCGTCTAGTTCCGAGACTTCTTAAAGAACTCGATGATACGAATGCTAAGTCAGCTCGCGTGCGTCGAGAGTCATGCTAGCCATGCCACTGATGGCTAATCCGGATACGTGTCTTGCCAGTAGGCCGGTCGAAAGCCATACCCAACGGGAAAGCTTGGGAGTCGCGAACGAGGGAACGAGAGAACCGGATTCTGCGCCGCGACTGCCGCATGAGGGTTCCCCGGCAGGGCTAGCCGTCCATTGTGCGGCTCCAACCATCACGGTTGATCCAGTGCATCGACTCTCTAGAGGCCAGAGGTCGGGGTAATCGGCGCGCAGGCAATACTTCTTCATGGGCCATCATGGCCCATCACACGTAACACCGAGGCCATGAAGGCCATTCGATGCCTGCCTTTTGGGCGTAGCTAAGAGCATTATGGCGTAGCTAAAAGCATTATGGCGTTTTAACAAAATCGTAAACACTGACGAACGGGCATGACGGTCGGCTCGGCGGGACGACTCGTTCGAGCCTCGGCTGGGCCGAACACACACAGCCTCACGTGAAGGGTCAGAAAAGATGTCGCTTCGTGTCGGGCGTTCGTCGTTCTGGGTAGCCAGGACTTGCGGCTGGTGGTGAGGCGCGGCGCACACGATGATGGGCAATGCATGATGGGAAACGCATGATGGAGGCCTCTTCTCTTTAAGTGTTATTAGCGGGACAGACACCACTGCGGTAGGCATGTTGCTCCTAGGAACGTAGAGTCGACCTTGACAAACCTAGAGATTAGCAGGGGAAGCCCACAGTCTGGCTGCGTGCTTGCGTAGGGGAGGGTGCTGCATGCTGTTCGGCAATCCCGAGGGTGGCATGTGGATACGGTAGCATGGTGAAGCGAATTGTCAGAAATTCTGGCGGGAAATCGTTATCGTCTAGCTCGTTTGACGAGTGCACAGAATTGGCGCTGCTGGTTATTCAAGTCATTATAATTGGTGACAAACCCACCCAAACAGTTGGGCATAGCACGTCAAGCTGGTCCCTATGAGGAAGTGAAGTGATAATATACAACATGCGTATCAACAGCTTACAAAAAAAACTGAAAGAAAAAATTGGTGAATGAAGGTAATGAGCCGGCCCCCCTTACGAACCCAGGCGACTACACTCACAAGACCCTTCACAAAGAAATAGGTGCAAGAACAGGAGGGGTGGCAGCTGGGTCAAGCTCCTTGGCTCCTTGAGGGGGGGAGGGGAGTCCTTTTGGCCCAGCCTCGTTCCCCTTGCAGATGTATGTGGGGATGAGGTGAGAGAAGACTGTGATGTCCACTGCCAGGCACTCACTCGTGCGCTGCCATGGTAGTAAGAGTGGGACAGTAACAGATGGAAAAAGAGGGAAGACAAGCCAAAAAGGAATCAGGAAGGAAGTAACACGGGCATGAGTGGGGGCGGAAACAAACTGGGGAGTCCTTCTGGGCCAGCCTCGTTCCAACATGCAGATGTATGTGGGAATGAGGTGAGAGAAGACTGTAATGTACACCGCCAGGCAATCACTCATGCGCTGCAATGACCAGAATGGGACGGCAACAGACGGGCAGAGAATCAGAGAGTACTATGGAAGCAACCCAGAGGGGGGAGGAAGTGACAGACAGATATAGTAGAGTCAGAAACGGGGTGAAGAGAAGAGAGAGAGGCAACATGTGAGGAGGAGGGAGGATGGACCTCCATGACTTCACCAAAACGAAAGCACACAAGCAGCAGTAGCAGCAGCAGCAGCAACAGCAGCAGCAGCGGGACCTGGAAGATGCTTGTGTATCCTTCCTTGCGTCGCAGCAGCAGCAGCAGAATTTCAGCGACAGACACGTGGACTCAGCAGTACCTGGAAGATGCTGGTGTATCTGTCCATGCGTCGCAGCAGCAGCAGCAGCAGCAGCAAACTTTCAGCAAGACACACACACTGTCAGAAGCAGCAGTACCTGGAAGATGCTTGTGTATCCTTCCATGCGTCGCAGCAGCCACACCACCACCTGTCCCCACACCCCATCCTCCGGCCTCTCAGGCAACCCAATCACCCCCGCCGCTCCTGCCACCGCCGCCGCCCCCCCCTTCACCTCCCACTCCTGAGCCACCTCCACCAGATCATACCTCTCCGTCCCTCCCGCCGAACCTGCACCCGTCCCAGCCCCCGGACCTGCGCCCGGCCCTGCGCCCGAACCTGAGCCCGAACCTGTCCCGTTTCGCCGATGCTGGGACACAACCCGGTCGGTAAACACAGCCCAGACCTGGCCCGGCTGCGGGAAGACCCCAAGAGGGAAGTCCGGATGGACCTTCACACCGGGTAAGCGGAAGGCGAAGACATTAATGCTGTCCATGGTCTTGGCACGCGTGACCAGGCGGAACCAACCGTACGCGGGCACGAGGGCGGATGAGGAGGAGGCGCCGCGACGAGAGGGGGAGGAGACGGGGTGCAGCCACTGCAGGCGGCACTTGAAGGTGGGCTTGTGGGTGACCTTCAGCACGAGTGCGTAGAAGCGGGGGAGGCCGTCGCGGTCGTCGTAGAGCGACCACACCTGGCGAGTGAGTTGTGTAGGGGGAGCAGAGGGCGCAGGGGGGGGAGTTTCAGAACAACAAGAATATTGAGCGCGGGCTTACGGGCGGGTGACTTTGAGCACGAGCGCACAGAAGCGCAGGAGGCTGTCTCCGTCGTCGTAGAGCGACCGCACCTGAAAAGTGAATGGCACTAAAGAGGTTGGGGATTCAGGAGGGAAGGGAAAGGTTAACAGGGCGATTGAGAAAGGGCAAGTAGATGGCTTGGGTGCATGGGTGTAGAAGCGAGGGCAGCAATCTGGGTCATCATAAAGAGACCAGACGAGTTGTGCTTGTGTGAGATGATTGAGGGTAAGGAAAGGGGAGGAAGGGGAAGGAAGGGGAGGGAAGGGGAAAGAGGGCTTTTATGAGCAAAAGGGAGCACAAACGAGAAGAGGCTTCGCTGTTGTCAGAGAGAGCCCAGATTAAAGGCGAGAGGGGAATGGGAGGGCAAGAGGGCAAGGGGGGGGGAAGGGAATAGGGGGGGAGATGTGTGTCGGGGGCAGAAAGGCTGGCCCCAATGCCATGTTCCGCATCATGCCACGCACTTGTAGCCATAAGCATATGGAGTCTATTTTTTAGGCGCCTCAAAAATAGGCCACGCACTTGTAGCCATAAGCGCATGGGCGAGCTGCAGCTTAGAAGAAAAAAACTTCAGCGTTTAAAAAGGCTGGCCCCAATGCCATGTTCCTCAGCAGGCCACACACATACCTGCCCTTCTTGCACGCTCTCCTCCTCCCTGTCATTGTCAAAGCAGTAGAAATCCGGATCAGCCACCTCCATCCCCTCCTCCTCCTCCTCCTCCCCCTCTTGCCTGCCCTTCTCACCCCCCACCCCATTCGCAGCAACGCCAGAGCCAGCCCCTGCAGCAGCAGCAGCAGCAGCAGCAGGCCCCACGCCCTCTCCACTCGCCTCCTGGCTCCTCACAGCAGCAGCAGTAGCCGCAGCCGCCGCTGGTGCCGTAGGGTCAAGCACAGCCGGCATGCCACTGCCATTCTGAGCCGCCGCGGTGGTAACGTTACGGCGGTTACCAGCAGCAACAGCAGGAGCAGGGGCAGGTGCAGGGGCGGAAGAGACGATGTTTGCCGCCTGTGCAGGGTTATGCATGACCTGGAAGATGGATGCCGGGCGCAGCGACTGAGGGACCGTTCTCGCTCTCATGGCACTTGCGCTGTTCTCCCTGCCCGCTACACCTGCTGCTGCCACGTCAGCTCCTGTCACTGCCTCCGCTGCCACACCTGCTGCTACATCCGCGGTTACCTCGACTGTCAACTCTGGTGCTGGCGCTGCTGTGCCTCCTGCCAATCTCACCTCTGCCCCTGCTTCTGCACCAGAAATCCCTGGTACAGCAATCCCTGCTGCTCCTAAACCACGTTTCGCCTCTGCTCCCACTGCCGCCACCGCCGCTGCTGCTGCTGCTGCACCCACGCCCTTACCCGGGTTACCAGGCGAGTCAACGTCCATCACATCTACCCCCACGCCACCAGGGCTGTCCCCCTCCAGGTTGATGACAGGCGGCTGTAGCTTTACACCAGACGGCTGCTCCACATCTCTGCGGCTCCTCTTTGCCCTCCGCCCCATACCCGCCAAGCCCTCCATCCCCTCCTCTTCCTCCCCGCCTCCTCTTCCCCCCACTCCCTCCCCCCCACCTTTCCCCAGAGCAGCGCGCGCAGCATCCATGGCAGCTTGCACCGCAGCAGACATGTCGTCAGGCAGCAGCTCCTCCTTCCCCTCCCTCCCCCTCTGCCTCTTCCTCGTGCTCCGTCCCTCTCCCTTTGCCTTACCTCCTCCCGCTTCCCCCTCCCCTCCCGCCCCCACTGCCCCTGCACCCTGCGCTCCCCCCACTCCCTCTCCCCCCACCCCCTCACCCGCCTTCCCCCTGTGATACCTCCCTCCGTTTTCCCTCCCAGCGCCCACCCCCATGGCAGCAACAGCAGCCGCAGCAGCCGCAGCCGCCTTCTCGGCAGCAGCAGCAGCTTTCCTCCCCTCCCTCTCCTGCTCCCTCGCGGCCTTAGCCACTCTCTTTCTCTCCGCCATCTCCGCCTCCTTCCTCTCGCGATCCCTCCGTCTGACCTCAGCCTGCTCCTCCATCCGCTCCCGCTGAACCTTATCCCACACATCGTTCACGAACGCCTGCCGGAACCCTGACGCCGCGGGGCCTGGCGTGCAGAACCGCTCGAAGAGACTCCCCTGCGACTGCATGTGGGGTGGTTGGTCGAAGGGTTGTGGAGGGGGTGGGCCAGCGTGGTCTGGTTTGGGGCTCGCAGGGGCCTGAGAGAACGGGCTGTGATAATACTGCTGCTGCTGCTGCTGCGACTGCCCTGGTTGCTGTGGCTGTGGCTGTGGCCGCGGCTGCTGTGGCTGCGACTGCTGCTGTTGCTGTTGGTTCGAGCCCGCAGGCTGCCCCCCGAATGCGGCTGCGGACTGTGGGAATGAAGGCACACCGAACGCAGGGATCCCGGACGCGGCTCCTGCATCACTTGCACCACCTGCACCCCCGGCACCTGCACCACTTGAACCACCTGCAGCACCCGCAGCAGCACCCGCAGCAGCAGCAGCAGCAGCAGCGGAGGCGAAGCCGTTGGTTGGGTGCGGCGGCTGTTGCCAGTGATCCGGGAGGCCGCCCGGTCCCATCATCCCCGCGGCACAGAACTGCGCCTTCATGTTCTTCATGAAACTCGCCCGCGCGCTGTCTGCCTGCGGAATGCCCTTCGCCTGCTGGCTCTCCGCCTGCGCCTGCCACCACGCCTGCTGCGGCGGCGGTGCCTGCTGCTGCGGCTGTGGCGGCGGCTGCTGGTGCTGTGGTTGCGGCTGCTGGTGCTGTGGTTGCGGCTGTTGCTGCTGCTGGGGTGGTGGTGGTTGCTGTTGCGGCTGAGGGGGCGGCGGATGCGAGGCTGGTCGCAGAGGCACCGGCTGCTGCCGTCGCTGCTGCTGCTGCTGCTGCTGCTGCTGCTGCTGCTGTTGCTGCTGGTGGTGCTGCTGCTGCCGCTGATGATGCCGCTGTTGCCGCTGATCCTGCTGCTTCTGCTGCCCTCTCCCCCTACCACCCGCAGCAGCGCCACTAGCACCAGCAGGCTTGGCCTTGGCCGGCGGATCAACCTCTACAGCGAGGAACATCTTGTCACATAGCAAGCACTTCACCATTTGCCCCCGGGAGTCCTGCTTGCACAACAGATTCGCGCAGCAATGGTGGCATTTCGTGTAGAACTGTGGAACAGCCGCGCCACCGCCCGCTGCAGTACCGCCGCCCCCACCTGCGGCTCCGCCTCTTGCGCCGCTGCTACCCCCCACGCCGTGCCCCCGCGCGCTTCCCCCATGCTGCCGATTCGCCGCAGCGTGATGCCGGCTCGTCGCGGCGGCGGCGGCGGCGGCGGAGAAGTGGCCGGTCCGCGCTCCGATGGCTGCTCTAGCTCGCTTCCTAATATCGAACTGCGACTTCCTGGCCTTATCGGATAGGCAACCGAATGCCTCAGAGACGTACTTAAACGCGGTCTCCGCTCCCGCGCCTTTATTCTTGTCTGGGTGCAGCAGCAACGCCTTCTTCCGATAGGATTTCTTTATCAGAGCGTCGTCGTCGCAGAAATCGGGGACGTCTAAAACGAGGTACCAGTCCACCTCGCCTTGACCGACACCGGGTAACCGCTTCGCAACGGCTTCGTGAACGTCGAGAACGGCCTGCATCTGCGAAAGGCCGTCGAGCGTCGCGAACATGCGACGAGCCTTGTCCCAGAATCGCCGGGCTCCCGCGACGTCGCCAGCCAATAGCTTCGACTCTGCGAGGCCTTTCGCCTTCTGAGCTTCGTCTTTGTTACCCTCCATGGCCGATCCAACATTATCGGACCTAAAGCACCGAATCGGTCACGCTACCGAATCAGTCACGCCTTCGCAGTCTGTGCGTCGTCGATCCTGCAGATTTGAGCTATAATCCCGCTACCAGCCGCAACTGCAACCCAGCTACCAGCCGCAACTGTAATCCTGCTAACAGCCGCATTTTCCGATGCTCCCACGGAGCGACGGGAGGATTTCGACCGGCTCGCTGGCCCGATCTGTCGCAAACGGTGTCTCTTGAGTCGACTCAAAATACTCCGACGAAGCTACGAGAGGATTTCGACCGGCCTCGGCTGACCGGGTCGGTCGCAAACGAAAGGCCACGCGAGGGTGGTCATGGGAGAGAAGACTCGCTAGGGTAAGGTCTAGAAGACTCGACACGGCACGATATACGAAGAAGGTAAAACGCAGCAGAAGGTTAGAACAGCCACCAAGCTCGTCGAAAGGAGCAAGGGGGGACCAGCTGGTGGTCCGCTGCTGATCGCACCGACTTCTGCAGGCTGCGGCAACTGAACACCGTATCCGCGTGTGTTGTTGTGACCCTCCCTCCCTGCCAAAGGTTGTTAGTGTAGGTAGTGGACAGGAGGAGTCGCCGCAAACATTTTTCCTGAGGCTGTTGTTCCTATCGGTCAGGCGACTAGGAGGTGTGGGTGGGCCGTAGGGACAACAAATTCGAGGTCCTCATTCAAAACTCCAAATTTACGCGTCCAAGTTTTCAAGGAATTGTGCACCTTGGGATGTCAAATCAGAACACACTCGTTTCTTGTACCGAAACGGACCGAATAAAAAAGGGGAAAGCTTTGTGGCCAGGATTTCGCGAACCAGAAAATGACGCAGCGAGTCCCAGATAATCATCCCGCCAAAGGTTTAGTTCTGACATGTCAGGCGAATTCACACCACACACATGCACCAGGCGAACCATTCACAGCATTCGATATTAGCACACAGAAACCCTCGCCCACGTCAGCGTCCTTCCCATATTCACAAAGCAACAGAAAGATAAAGATTAGCTTGGAGAAAGAAAAACAGGAAGGTTAGTAAACTGCTCATGCCAAACTCCCAACACTATTCCCTAATCTCCTCTTTCCTCCTCCTCAGCCAATCCCCCAGCCGTTAGCTAATCTTCTCACACCACTGTTCCCTTGAGGCGCGATCAGAACCGTCGATGTCAGATCCAGGTGAATCTTGTGGCATGTGGTCAGGGGGATGTGATGCGGGGCGACGTGCTTCCATGCCGCATCCACAATAGAGCAGCTCACAGGGAGAATGTCTCGGCATGCATACAGAATGGCATCTCTAAAAATGGTGGGCTTCTCCAGAAATAGCATGTGGCCAACCTGGGGATGGAGAAGAGACACGAACATGGCAGGTTGAGGGTGTTCAATGCCGAGAGTGCTAATAATGAAAAATTATGAGATCTAACATAACGAGCTTCAGCAAGAGAATCTAGCTTGGGAAGTGCATTTACAAGGCCAGCAGGCGTCAGACTTATCAGAACACACCTGGGGGCCGTTCGCTGGCCAATTTTTTACCGGCACGGCGAGGGAAATCAGGCATGGGGAACATCGATCGAGGCTTCGTAGGTTCGCCGAACCCAATTTGCGAAACGTGACGTCAGCATGTGAAAACGTTGCGTCGGTTCGGTTTCCCCAAACCAATTGCCCCCAAATCGCGTGCTCCTTCTCATGCCAAACCCGAAGCGCGGCCATCAGCTGCCCAGAGCTGCCAGGCAAACTCCGTGCCACACCTCATACTGCAAAATCGTGGTATGAGGCAGGCCAAGATTGGCATGCCTCTTGGCTGGGCAGGTTTACAAAACCCAAAAAAAAAACCGCAGCCACTTCCCCTTCAATCCTACCCGTCGATTTGCGCAATTGCGCCAGCTCATACCCATCCAATCGGTCACATTTTGAAATGTTAAAAAAATGGGCAGTTTTGACAAAATTGTGTGAATCTCATTTTCTCCGCTAGATTTTCCACGAAAGTGCGATGGCCTAAGAGGGCTTTTGGTGGGCCCCACTCTTCACTGTCCGCGAGTTTGTCTTATCCAGTCCTGCAGTCGTGACAGACGTAATCATGAGCCGGCGACGTTATGATTACCAAAGTACGGGGGCACACAACAAAAAATTACGTAGGTTTGGCTGCGCAGATTCCATGCGCGCGGGATTTGGTCGCCCGTTCCCCTCCCCGTTCCCCTCGGAAAATTGCCAGCGAACGGTCCCCTGGTGGTCCATGTTGTCCTGATGTATCAGCAATAGCACTGCTAACCTGGTGTCGACATCACGGACAGCCCTGCTGACCTGGTGTCTTGTCAGACGTATCACAACATACCTCTCGCAGGTTGAACACCTCTGCCGGCACGGGCATCTGCTTGGCGGCACCCAGACCCGTCCAGTGGTCCATGATGTCCTGCTGTCCGAGATGCACCACTCAAGAGGTGCCACCACACACACACACTCACACACACTCACACACACACACACACACACACTCTCACACACACACTTACGTCTCGCACATTGAACACCTCTGCTGGCACGGGCATCTGCTTGGCGGCGCCCAGCCCTGCCCGGTGGTCCATGATGTCCTGCTCGCCGTAGATGAACGTGGTGGGCGCCTTCCAGTGCACCGCACTGCACCGATTTGCACCACAAGACAAGGCAGGTTCAAGCAGACATGGGTGCACACAGACACAAGAATTCACACACATGCATGAGAGCAGGCACGCAAGCAGCCATGCCATCAGGCAGGGAGGGGATGGCGTGGCCAATCCATACAGCACCCATGCAGTAAAAGCCAACAACTGCCTCGATGCAGAATAGAAGAACAACATGACATGCTCCAGAATGAGGTGTGTTTTGAGTCGACTCAAAACACATCAAAAGCCAACAACTGCCTAGATGCAGAATAGAAGAATAACATCACATGCTCCAGAATGAGAGAACCTGACACTGAAAGCCCAACCGTGCAAGAAAGAAGCTCAGGGAGCCATTGCGCAAGGCTCTTCAAGGCAGCATCCAATCGCACTCTCACGCCCTCGCTCACCTGTCTATGAGCGGACGGCGGGCGAAGGCCCCGAGGGAGAAGATAAACTTCATGCACTGCTCGCCGCTCATGGGCGCTGACAGCGTCTGGTAGATGTAGTCTGCAGGGGGGGAGGGAGGGGGGAGGGAGGGGGGAGGGAGGGAGGGGGGAGGGAGGGGGAGGAGGGGGAGGAGGGGGGAGGAGGGGGGAGGAGGGAGAGACAGACGGCTATTGTGCGATGCACTCCAAGCAACTCTGTGCACTGCTCGCCACTCATGGGCGCTGACAGGGTCTCGTAGATACAGCCAGGGAAGAGGGGGGGGAGAGACAGACGGACGATGATGGGGACACAGCTTGAAGAGAGTCAGAAGATGACGGGGAAAAGGACTGGGGGGAGGTAGAAGAGCTGCTTGCCGCTCACGGGCGCTGATAGGGTCTGGTAGATGTAGTCCGCTGGGGGAGAGGGGGAGAGAGGCGGAAGACGACTGGGAAACAGCGTGAATCGGAAACACGGGGAAAAGTCCCCCCCCCCAAAATAGAATCACACACGTACCACATAAAGCGTCCCTTGCGCTGGTGCCATGGTCGACTACTGGGTATGTTAAGGGCGGCGGGCCATTCTTTGCACGTACCACAGAAGGCGTCCACTTGCTCTGGCGTCATATTCTCTTGCGGCGGTGGAAGGTTGGACCACCGCTGCGTTGTGGCGGTCTTCACAATGTCTCGGCTCCACGGGCCCAGCCACCTGGTGGGGAAAGGGAGAGGAGGGGAGGAGAGGGGGAGGGGAGGGGAGGAGGGGAGAAGGGAAAGGGGAAGTGAAGAGGGGCGAAGGGGGTGATTGGAGGCTCCACATCATGGAAAACGGTAAAGAGATGGCTTTTGAGGCGCCTCAACGATGGCTTATCGGGTCTCTGCTCTGACACGTGAGGGTCCAGCCACCTGGTGAGGAAAGGGGGAAAGGGGATGTACTCTGTATGGAATGCTGCGGTGAAATGTTGGCATGACATGTTGGCATGACATGTTGGCATGACATGTTGGCATGTGCGACATCTGATCCTGGCAGGTAGCACCGGAAGATGAACCCTTTCCCTCAGGTTAACTCGTTTGCTGGAGAAGTCTCAGTCATACAGAATGAACGGCTGTGGGGAGGTGCAGACTGAATGAACGGCTGTGGGGAGGTGCAGACTGAAAGAACGGCTGTGGGGAGCGATGTTGGCCTCCCAGTAGCACTGCAAGACGAACCCCTTCCACGTGCCCGCAAACTCGTTCTTCTATAAGACGTGTCAAATTCATACACCGTATGGATTGCATCAGGACCCAAATCGATCAAATTCATACACCGTATGGGTTGCTGGGGAAGGGATCCATCCCTACCGAATGAGCTGCTGCGGAGGGATGTTGGCCTCCCAGTAGCAATGCAAGACGAACCCCTTCCACGTGTTTACCACCTTGCTTTAAAGCGTCTCCAAGTCACACACCGTATGGGTTGCTGGGAAAGGGATCCATCCCTACCGAATGAACTGCTGGGGGGGGATGTTGGTCTCCCAGTAGCACTGGAACACGAACCCCTTCCACGTGTTGCGAAACATCTGCATCTTGGTCGACTCGTGGCTGAACCCCGCCGGCCCCACCAGAATCAGATGCCGCACTCTTGAAGGGTACTGCAGGGGAGGCAGCAGAGGGGAGGCAAAAGCATGGGGAAGACTGCATCTTGGTCGACTCGTGGCTGAACCCTGCTGGCCCCACCAGAATGAAGTGGCGCACTCTTGAAGGGTACTGCAGGGGAGGCAGCAGAGGGGAGGCAGCACGAGGGGAGGCAGCATGAGGGGAAGCAGCATCTTGAAAGGTAAGCAGCATGTGGAACCCATCTGCATCTTGGTCAACTCGTGGCTGAACCCCGCCGGCCCCGCCGGCCCCGCAGGGGGTACTGGAAGGCAGGCAGCAAAGAGGGGTGCTGGAAGGCAGGCGGCAAAGAGGGGTGCTGGAAGGCAGGCAGCAAAGAGGGGTGCTGGAAGGCAGGCAGCAAAGAGGGGTGCTGGAAGGCAGGCGGCAGGGAGGAGAGGCAGGGTATTCGATTCGAGCGGATAGGAGAGGAGAGGGTTCACCTCTGAAACCCTGCCGCGCCCAGCAAGAGATGCCGCGGCACGGGTGCAAGCAGCAGAAAGCAGCAGAAAGCAGCAATAATGGTTCATCGGTACATTGTTGTACTAGCTAGTTTCACTTAGACATGGGCACTAGCGCTAGTTTCACTAGCGCTGCTGCTGCTGCTGCTGCTGCTGCTGGGAGCACGAGACGCTGAGATGCTGCGAAGGGCACAGCCGCCTCACCTTGAGCGCGTATCTCGATGCCACAAAGCCGCCGAACGAGTTGCCCAGCAGCACAAAGCGCTTGAGCCCCATTGGCTTGAGCCATGCGTGCGCGGCCTCCTCAAGCCAGTACAAAGCAGCACTTTCGCCCCATCTCCAAGGCATCAGCACCAGAGAGAGTGGTCTCACTCACCTTGAGCGCGTATCTGGACGCCACGTAGCCCCCGAACGAGTGGCCCAGCAGCACGAAGCGCTTGAGCCCCATCTCCCTGCGCCACGCCTCTAGCGCCTCCACGAACCACGTCTCCGCCTCTGATGACCCCAGGCGGGGGCGAAGCAGGGGGCAGAAGATATGACCAGCACGTGTGGAACGCAAGTGAGGTGAATGGAAGAGAAGCAGCTGAGCAGCTGACCTGACAAGTTCTCCTAGGAAGAGAAGCATGCCAAAAAGGGGGGCCAAGAGAGTGGAAGCAGAAGAAAGTACAAGGCATGCTAATTTCATGACCCGGCCATCTCAAGGGGAAGCAGAAGAAAAGAGGAGGGAAAGGGCTGTGTGCTGTGCTACCTTCGGGAGAAGCAGGCGTGAATGTGGGTCGGCTGGACGCTCCCCACCTGCCGCGCAGCCACACAGGAAGGAATCAGCTGCATACACATCTCACTGCATCAAGCTGCGTACTAAGGGTACACAACAGACATGGCATGGCTGATCCAGTCCGCTACTACTCCACCATCCCCGTCCTCCCCGTCCTACCTGTCCTCCCCGTCCTCCCCACACCACACAGGACTCTCCTTCCTGCGAGCGCACAGCCTTCCCTTCCACCTGAGATGATCGATGGGGAACACTTTCAAGTGCTCCGCCAGCGCCAGGGCGTCGTAATCCGGAAGCAGACGGCTTCTGATCTCTATGTTATCGACGGTCGCCTTCAGCCACCCACGTCACCTTTCTCAAACCCATGTCACCTTTCAGCCACCCATGCTACCTTTCTCCCACCCACCCGAGCTGGTCGATGGAGTACACGTTGAAGTGTTCCGCCAGGGCGTCATAGTTCCGAAACCGACGGCTCCTGAGTACTTTACAGTCGACTCAAAGGTCACCTTTCAGCCACCCACCCGAGACACATTAAAGTGCTCCGGCAGGGCGTCATAGTTCCGAAAGTAGATCCCCAGCGCCTGCTTTGGGGACCACTCTCAAGTCCCAACAGCTTTCTCTCGCACAACTTCCTCTCGCACAGCTAGTCAATACCTACTTTCAGCCACCCCCGTCACCTCTCAGCCACCCACCCGAGCTGGTCGATGGAGTACACGTTGAAGTGCTCCGCCAGGGCGTCGTAGTTCCGGAAGTAGAACCCCAGCGCCGACGCGTATCCATGGATCATCACCAGATTCGGCTTCCCGTTGAACTCCTCCTCGTCGCCCCGCCCGTCGCCGCGGCATGGCGTCGTCCCCACCACCAGCGTGTTTATGAAGCAGTTCTCCGCGTCGCCTTCTCCGCTTCCGTCGCTTCCGCCGTTGCTTGCCGTCGCCTTCTGCCAGCCCCAGGACAGGGTGTCTTCCAGCGGTTTGTCTGCCGGCCAGACGGCAGTTTTCTTGCGGACGGCCGGCGGGTGGCCGATGTCGACCTGGATTACGCGATGCGGGGTCCTGCGCGGCGCAGGGATGTGAGGGAAGGTGGGGAGGAGGGGAAAACGCGGGGGAAGGGCGGATGCATGAGAAAGATCCGTTATTGAGGATTACACCTAGTAACGAGTTGCACGATATTGGAACAGGGCTAGAGCTTGATTTAACATCCATGCAGATGGCCTTGCAGAGGGTATCATTCGGTAATCACCCTTGTGAAAGGGGACAGAGGGAGGGAGGAAGGGGGGAGGAGGCGAGGTGAGGGAGAAGAGTAGGAGAACGAAAAGCAGGGCTAGTTCCAAAGAGCATCAGATGAGCGACAACAGGTCGCAGTCGCACCTAACGAACGACAACAGCCGGCACTCGCAGGAGCGGAGCTCGAGGTCGCTGGCGGGGCACCAGCGGAGCATGTTCAGCGCCCAGTCCACCGCGCTCGCGCCCACCGGCAGCGGATCGTCGTCTCCGTTAACGTTACCGTCCGCCGCCTCTTCTGTGTTATCCTGCCGGTAAGCCTGCTGTTGCTGCTCGTGGTGATGATGGTGGTGGTGGTGGTGGTGGTGATGGTGCTTCTTCGACGTGCTGATCGGCAATTCGTCGAGCTCTCGAAGCTCTTGCTTGCAGTGCTGCTTCGGCCGGAGAACTACCATTTGCGAGCCTGGCACGCCAGCTGTCTACTACGAACTGGATAAAATATTGTTGATTCGGACGCACGACCGCAAAACGGGCCGACGATTGGAACGTGTAAGCTGAAAACGCCGGATGGGTTTAGCCTAGGGCCGACGGGTAACAGCCTTGCGACAACGAGGTGTTCGGGAGAAAGCTGATGTGTATCTTTGTCACGGTGTCTTGAATCTTTGGAACGGCTAGTCCGAGTGCGGGGTGGAACACGCGTCTTTATTGCCGGTACTGTACCGTGGTTGCCTAGAACATATGTAAGCAACTACACGGTAACTACCGCAAAAGAAAGGTTGCTGGGAAAATAATCTCAAAGTCTACCCCGCCTCGGGACTATCTGCACTGGACTAATTACGTGTAAGAAGAGTGTTACTGGAAATTGTGACACGGAAGGGGAAATGGACGTGAACCACGAAACCATGAAATCGGAAATCCCGAGGGCCCTTGGAAGCGGGAAGAAAATTACCAACAGGGAAGGCCAAAGAATATGACGGTGTAGAAAGTTCTGTCTGTCTACTTCTGCGCATGAATCCCGTCGTCGGATGCACACCAAAGAGCTATGATTGGCCAAGACGCTAATGTGGCGTCGCATGAGATCGCCGCCGCTTCAGCAGCGTACGAAAGTGCTGGGCCACGCTGGTGGCTGCCGTGTGCCCGATGTGTGGCTGACAAAGCTCGCAGAAGCTGCAGTCTCGGTTTGGACGGCCGTTGGCTCACCTGCCGCGCCGCGCCTGAACCAACGAATTCCCCCAAAACCTTGCCAGTCAGCCCTGCTAAGATGGCTCGGCATGAAGATGATTGGCTAACGCCCAACACTAACTAGCCAAACCGCCCCCATGGTTGCCTCGATCACGACGAGCAACCTCGTGACAAGCAGGGCCGCCAAAGTTAACGCGTACAAGGTTCCCGTTTGAGGGTACAATACGCGAAGCGTCAAATCTTGAATGCAATAACTAATTCAATACGTGAATCCAATAACTAATTATGCGAAAATACCATTCCCCCTTTGGTCACTGCTCGCTCTATCTTCTGATGGCACAGAGGGCACTGCTTCTTCCGCGACACTAGCAGCGACGCACATTGCTCGCACGTAACATTGTGCGAACACGGCTGCACTGTGGTGTTACGCGGATGCTCATGGCAAATCAGGCACTTGGCCAAAGGAAAAGAAGGCCTGGGAGAACCGCCAGAACCAAGCTCCATGCCCCCCACTGGACCAGCCAGACCAGACGAAGGCGGAAAAGCAGATTTCGGTGGCCCGGCATGTGGCTTCCCCTGGCTTTTCCACTGCTCTGCCAGGTCCACTAGAGGGATCAACGATCCAAGGACCTGCGTCATGGTTGGCCGGAAGGACGGCTCGGATTGCACGCACACGGCGGCAACAGTCGCCAGGTGGTGGAAGCTGGTTGGTGGAAAGCGGTTCCTCAAGGAGGGGTCTGCGATGGCAAGTGTCTCGTCCCTGTCGATCAGAGGCACCGCCTGGTGTGTTGGGATGGGGTGAGGCAATGCGTGAGAGCAATGGGTTCAGGAAGTGGTATGATAGCAGGATGAGCTGACATGTTGTCGGTGCTGGAGAAAAAGCATGTGCTTGGTGATTGCAGCCGGCACGTGCAGCATAGGAGTGGCACTACAGGAAGGAGATGGGGAAAAGCAGGAGACACAAGGGCGTGTTCAGCAGTACATTGAAACAGAAAGCAACTGAGGCATAAAACAAACCCATTAGATCATGCGCTTCCCTGAACGCATCCAATAAACCCACCCAGGAGACGAGGGATTGCTCGTCAGGTCGCTTGGAGAGGTCAATGGGCCTTCGCCCCGTTATAAGCTCCAGGAGGATCACTCCAAAGCTATACACGTCGCTGCGCTGCGTGTTCACACCAAAGAGAACCCCTCTGTAACACACACAGCAGAAATCCAAGGGGGGAGGGACAATTGCATAATCACTCAAATGAGGCGGATCACTCCGAAGCTATACACGTCACTGTGCTGCGTGTCTACACCAAAGAGAACTTATGTGTAACACAGACATGAGATCGCAACAGATTGAGGCTAACGCATCGTTCAACTTTTGGTCAACAATATGTCAGACCACACCTGCAGATGATTCTTTCAGCACATACCTCGAAACCCCCATAAACCCCGCACAACCCACTCGAAGGGATTCCCTACTCATCACCCCTCACCCGCTCTTCCTAGAACCTACTCTGGAGCAAGGTACCCAAAGGTGCCCGTGGCTCTGCCGCCTCGCCTTGTGGGAAGAGCGTCCTCAGCCAGCCGAGACAGACAGTAGTCCGTCACCTGCAGGGGGGGAGAAGAAGAATCCGACATGGGGATTGCAGAAGGGCCAAGTGGGTAGTGTTGTGAGAGGAAGCGGCTGCTCTGCCGCCTCGCCTCATGGGAAGAACGTCCTCAGCCAGCCGAGACAGACAGTAGTCCGTCACCTGCAGGCGGGGATTCGGGGGGGTAGGGGGAGGGGTAGGGGAAGATGGCACATGTTTCTCGTGAAAGGCAGTGGTCCGTTACCTGGAGGGGGGGAGGAGGTGCGGATTGACCGAGAGATTCTTGAGCCGAGATAGGCAGACCTTAGGTGGAGTGTAGGGAATGGGGAATCGCCAAGGGGATTCGGAGAGATTCACCTCTGCATCGCCTGTGTTGTCTAGCAGTGGGTTGAATCGCTTCACACTGGCGAGCACGGTTATTGGGGGGGGGATCGGGGCAGGGTAAAGACCGACCTTTGCATGCATGGCTCACACCCACCGCGCCGCCCATCCCCCACCAGGACTACTCGGAATACTGGTAAAGAACCCAACACGGCCTCTCACCTTTGCATTGCCTGAGTTGTCCAGCAGAACATTGGAGCTCTTCAGATTCGCATGCACCGCTCGCATCCACCGCCAACCATTGTGCTGCCCACACCGCTACCATGGTACCACTCTCACCTTTGCATTGCCCGAGTTGTCCAGCAGGACATTGGAGCTCTTCAGATTGGCATGCACAGCTCGCACCCACCGCCGACCATCCCGCACCACCACCTCCTCCTTCCCTCCCCCTCCCTCCCCCCCCTCCTCCTCCTCTTCCCCCTCCTCTTCCCCCGTCCCCATCACACCACCAGCACCAGCCCCTATCCCGCCCCCAAACTCCCCGCTGCTGCTGTAGCTATCCGCCTCACCATCAGTGACCGAAACCAGAAATTCCTCCTCCCCCTCCCCCTCGTCCGGGCTCTCCTCCAGGGTGTCTAGCTTGTGGGGCGAGCCGTTGAGGGAGGAGGAAACAGAGCTGTGAGGGGAGGCGTACGCGCCGTTCTGTGGGGAGGCGTACGCGCCGTTGTGTGGGGAGGTGTGCACGCCGTTGTGTGGTGAGGCGTGCACGCCGTTGTGTGGTGTGCCTGTGGAGGAATCAGGAGTGGCGAGGCGGGAGGAGGATAGCTGTACGGCACCAGGCTGGGAACTCAGCTGGGTGTTGTAGCCCGTGTAAGGCGTGTAAGGTGCGTTGGAGGATGCTGATTGGCCGTTTCCTGCTGCTGCTGGGTAGAGGTGCGTTGGGTCCGGGGAGGGCGAAGGGGTGGCTGGGCCGATGGGGACGAGCCTCTGATGCAGGCTCTGCAGGCCCCTCGCGACTGCCACGGCTATCTTCACCCGATGCATCCAATCCAAGCGACCAGAGCCTGAAACGGGTGAAAATGTGAGGGGGAGAAAGTGGGGGGAGGGAGAGGGGAGTGGTGGGTGGAACAGTTTGGGAGAGGAGAGCGATGGGAACGAGCCTCTGATGCAGGTTCTGCAGGCCCCTCGCCACGGCCACGGCTATCTTCACCCGGTGCATCCAATCCAGACGGCCAGAGCCTGAAAAAGGCGTGGAACGAACTCGTAGGCGACTTTTGAGGCGCCTCAAAAGTCGAACTCGTAGGCGAGCACCGCGCTGACTCCGTCAGCGGAGTAGCCGATCAGAGCACAGTGCGTACAGCGAAGCGAAGGAGCAGAGCATCGTGCGGCACATACCATGTAGATGCTCGTGCAAGCTGCCGTTGGGGACGAACTCGTAGGCGAGCACAGCACTGACTCCGTCTGTGGAGTAGCCGAGCAGAGGCACGATGTGGGGGCAGCGCATGAGCGAGAGAGCCTCGACCTGGCAGGGAAACAGGGATGACATGAGGAAATAGGGATGACATGAGGAAATAGGGATGACATGAGGAAATAGGGATGACATGAGGAAACAGGGATGACACGAGGAAACAGGGATGACACGAGGAAACAGGGATGACACGAGGAAACAGGGATGACATGAGGTAAGAGGAGACAATGGGACAGCGGGGGCGGGCGAGGAGAGAAGCTGCGTAGAGGGAAGACGTGCGGGCAGCGCATGAGAGAGCGAGCCTCGACCTGATGGGAAAGGAGGGGCTCTCCCTTCAGGTCGAGGCTCTCCCTTCGGTCTGTCATCGAGGCAATGAAGCCTTGGTTCTGTTGTTGACAGGACGAAAGAAGCAAGAAAGGAGCGAGAGCCAATGAAGGTGGACTGTAGGGCAGAGCGTACGGTTTGAGAACTCCCCAACTTTGTATGGGGATGAGGGGGGATGAGGAGAGATGAGAGCGGGAGGATACAGTGCAGCAGCAGTGCGTATGCGCGCAGTGCAGCGCGTGACTCTAATGCGTGCCACTCAAGCATGTGTGAGAAACAGCACCCACCTGCTCCCTAACCGCATCCCTGGACACCGCTGCTTGCCCCGCAGCGCCTTCTCTACTTTTGAGGCGCCTCAAATATGGATGCGTGGGAAACAAGCACTCACCTGCTCCACAAAGAGATTCCTGGCAGCGTCCCTCGACACCACCGCTTGTCCCACACCGCCTCCTCTACCCTCTCCTTCTCTCCCCTTCCCACCACTCCCTCCTCCCCCTCTCCCTCCCCCCCCTCCTCCTCCTCCTCCTCCACCTCGCCCCACGTCCCCGCCGGCAACGAACAGGTCGAGCCTCTTAATCGCCAGTCTAAGTCCGTTAGGCAGTGTGGCTTTATACACGCGCCCGAACGTGCCCCTTCCGAGAAGGTTCCTTTCGTTGAAGCGGTGCGTGGCGGCTTCGATGGCGGCATAGCTGATATCGAGTGCGCCTGTACCGAGTACGGCTTCTGGGTCGTGGATGAGGCGAGAAAAAGCTGGATAACACGGAATCACGGGCGTGGGAGGTGAGGGAAGGGGAGGGGAGGAAGGGAATGACGAAGGGGGGTACGGAAGCAGGAGGAGATGTTGAGAGTGCGCCTGTAGCGACTGCGGCTTCAGGGTCGTGAATGAGGTGAGAAAAGGCTGAAAAACAAGGAACCAGGGGTTTAGAGGGGGGCGAGGAGGGAGGAAGGTTGACGAAGTTATGGCAGCGTAGGAGATATCGAGTGCGCCTGTAGAGAGAATGGCGCCATCTCCACCAGCCGAAAGTGAGGAGAAGAGAGGAGGAGAACGAGGTGAGGAGAACGAGGGGAGGAGAACGAGGGGAGGAGATTTGGAAGGAATGGAATCTAGGATAACCAGTGCACCTGCAGACGAATGGGCAGATACTGAGTAGCTTCATGGAATTGGAAGGAAAGGCGAAAAGATTCAACGGGAAAACGGGGGTAAAAGGTGGAAGGGGGGGGGGGGGGGGGGTTGTGTGACTGTTTAGATAGCTCCTAGACTGTCAAATTTTAAGGCGCCTGAAAAGTTGGGACACCTCCAAGACTGTCTAGGTCGATGATTGAAAAAAAAAAAAAAAAAAAAAAAAAAAAAAAAAAAAAAAAAACCTTTGCTTCCAAGCCCATCACTACCTTTGCTTCCAAGCCCTTTGCGGAAGCCATTCAGCTTCATCACACCTCCATCGAGCCCCTTCCCACCAAACACCCGCAGATTCGTCCCAAACAGCTTGCCCCCGCTCTTCTTGCTGCTGGCGCTGTCACTCCTGCGGTGCTGCTTTCTCCCCCGGAAGCAGCAGCAGGAGGGACAGAAGAGCATAGTGGCAGCAATGGCAGCAGTGGCAGCAGCAGCCGCCGCAGCAACCGCGATTGCAATTATCACGGGGGTGGAGAGGCCAGTGGATGGAGCAGAATCAGCACCGGTACTCGTGGTGCTGCTGCTAGAAGAATCAGCTGCTGAAACAGGTGAACCGTCCCCAGCTGTACCCTCCCCACTTGATGCCACAGTACCAATTGCAGGGGCGGTTGCAGCAGCATCAGAGTTATTAGCAGTGGCCGTAGCATCGGCACTAGCATTGGTAGTGGCAATGCTGCTGCTGCTGCTACCGTTGGGGAGGAGAGAGGGCACCTGCATGTCTCTCACTTGGAAGTAAACACCGAAGAGAGAGGGGCCATCAGACTTCCCTGGGACTGACCCCTCTGGGAAGGGACGACTGGGGGAGGTGCGACCTCTAGTCCCATTCTTCCTTCCCCATACCCCCCCTCCCCATCCTCCACCATCCCCATACCCACCACTACCGTTCCTAAACCAATTGTCACCGCTCCAGGGACCCTCAGCACCGTCCTGCACCGCACCAGCACTCCCCAAACCCCTATCCGTGCCAAAACGCCCCCGGCCTACAGCGGCCAGGTGCGTCTTGAGCTGCTCGCGTTCGCTAGGGAGGAACTGGTCGAAGCCCGGGCGCGGGTAGAGGGTTAGGACGGCTGCCGTGATGTCGCTGGGGGTCACGGCGACGGCGGTGGCCTCGTTGTTGCGCGCCAGCAGGAGCATGAGGCTCGCTGCGAAGCGAAGGAGGGCGGGAGGGGCGAATAGCTTTGCCACGTCAGCAGTGGCGGCAGCGGCGGCGGCAGCGGTGGCGGCTGCAGAAGCGTTTGGGGAGGGCGTTTTCAGCTGCGGAGGTGAAGCTTTGGAGGAAGGAGCGGAGGAGGGTGGGGAGGAGGATGGGGATGGAGACATCAGCAGAGGCAAGCAGTGAAAGTCAAGTTCCGCAAGGTTAGGAGGAGTTGCCTCTGACGGGCGATCATCGCCCCTTTCCAGTGAGGGATTCTGTGCTTCCCTGTCCTCTTGCCATGGCAGGGGTTGATCCGACTCCCCAGGGCCGATCCAAGGGAAAAGATTGTCACTGTCTGGAGCAGAAGAGTCACGAGGGGGCGGAGGGGGAGAGGAAATTGAGGAGGAGGGAGAGGAAGGAGAGGAGGGAGAGGAGGAGGAGGAGGAGGAGGAGGAGGAGTAAGGATGGAGATAAGCGGATGTAATATTCGAAGGGCAGATGGCGAAGACGAGGATGACGCGAAATGGCTCGACACACGCGCAACTCTGCCGCCCCTGCTCCTTCCCCCCTTTCTCCTGCCCACTCTCCTCCGCTCCCCAGTCCTCCTCCCCACCACCAACACCACCCCCACCACCACGACCAGCACCACCAGCGAAGTTCTCAAAGTCTTCATCATCATCGTCATCCACTCCACTGTCCACGTCATCCCATAAAGGCTTCCCACCACCCCACTCTTCCTTCCCCTCCCCCCCTGCGCCTGCCACGTCATCCGCTACAGCTGCCACAGTGCCCTGGTTAGGGTCCAGGAGGCCGGAGGAGAGGGGGGGGAATTCCCAGCCTGGGGAACATGTGGAAGGGCAGCGGGGGGAGGGGGGGGAGGGGGACGGGGAGGAGGGGGAAGAAGACGAGGAAGGGAGAGAGGAGGAGGGAGGAGTGGGTGGCGACTGGGATTTGGGACGAGCGCGAGAGGGAGAAGACGGGGGAGAGGAGGGTGGGGGAGTTGAGGAAGCAAGGAGCCGGCTCATGCTCTCCACTCCACCCCGCAGTTTGATCTCAGATACAACCACTGCCACTGATTCTCCTTGCGGCTGCCGCAGACTTCCCGTACTGCCGTTACTATCAGACCAATTCCCAGATACTACGGAGATTAGCGACAAAACCAGGAGGAGGGGTACGTTGACGCGCGTGCTCTGCGTCATTGCTTGCAGGAAAAGAAGGGCGTCAATGATTTGGGGAACCGTAGCTTAAGGGAGGAGATAATTCACTGCGTAGATGAAGCGACGGTGTCAGAGACGGAAACTAGGACCTCACAAAGGCGAGATGCTGTGTCTTTACTGCTATGGGAATCATCTACTACATCAGGAAGTCTGTCCTGCTTGCGGAACCCTTCAGCTAGGCGAAATTCCGATTGCGAGGGTCTCTGAACAGAAGGAGGAATGGGGCCGTCAGAAACTCGTCGTCAATTCGGTGCCGTTGGGAAAAGCAGCTCGGCAAAATTGTAGTTCGGAATAATTGCAGCTTGGCAAAAGCGCAGCTCGGCAAAATTGCTAGCTCTGTGGTCGATAATCACGGGTGATGGTACGGTAGTCAGGGATGAGGCGAGTCAGCACGAAGCGGTTGCTACGCGATCGACATTTGGTCCCAAGAGACACAACTGCTGGCTTTTGGAGCTTTGGCTGGGGACATGGGTATGAGGGGAGAGCAGATCCGTATGGGCAGAAATGTGAACAAAATAAATTGTGGGGGTTGCGAAATTGGAGTCTTGCGAAATTGTGGGGCAGAGGAGGTGCATGCGAAATGCCGTGTGGCATTGGTGGAGCAGTTGCGCTGCGACTTGAATCGCGACTCGCAGGCGAAGGTCGAGCTTGCGGTTGCGAACTACCGCAACAATCTCTGGGGCCATCGAGAAAACTGAAAACGAATCGCCGAGTGGTCAACGGGGTCACACTTTCGCGCAGATGGTTTTTGAGGTTGCGATTTCGTTCTAGGCGTGAAAGTGTAGGAAGAGGTGAGTACACGTGCGCATCAATATGCACACCAATATATGAATTTACTCACATCATTTTTGTTGAGTAATGAGCAAACACTCAAACCACTGGTCCCTTCCGTGAACTACACTTGAGGGCCCCACCAAGGAGAAGCCGACTCTTTTATAGAACCCTAATAGTGGCTGCACATAGTCAAGGACGAAGTTTAAGTATACATTATAAATGGAAAAAGGAGGCATAAGAATGCCAGGCATGAACGTTGGTATCATTACCTTTTTGCACAATAAACGAATAGATTGCAGCACTGGCTCTTCGATGGACGAAACGTGCTTGATGTAGGCTCTCAGCAAACGCGACCCAATGCCCTGACGACGGTACTTCTGGCTTACGCATACGGAGTGGATGCATAATGTCTCTGCACGCAATTAACATACAGAATGAGGAAGGCGCATAGCCAAAAGAAAGTCACAGCGCCAGAATGAAGCACGTGAAGATAAATACTCCTCACTAGATAGGAGTCTCTGATATTGCAAAATTATCAGCGGGCTAAGGAGGCTAGGGAGGAGAACATACCGCCTGTGGGGTCATGGACGAACATGGAGGCATGGTCCAGCTCGTCCTTGGCCGTCTGAGTGCCGCATGCAAATCCCACTAGCTCGCTGCCAAGTGTCGCCACTAGAAACACTGAGCTGGCTGGGAAGTGGGAGGAGAGAGGGAAGTTTACCGAGCTGGTTACGGGGGGGGAGGGGCGCGTGAATTGCAACGGCTTTCCAGTTTTGGAGGCATGTCCAGTTGACCACAGCATTCAATGAGAGGAGTTGTCCAGACACTTACAGGGCAAAAAACAGGAACCAGCTATAGCAGCAACTTAAAAGTTCTGGAGAAGAGTCTACATAATGCAGAACAGAATGACGGAAACAGAACATACGTTAAGATAAAACAATCAAGTAGCAGCTTGGGAAAAGATTTTTGAGGCGCCTCAAAAGTAAAACCATGTTAAGCACCTTTCTGGATGCGGTAGTTGAGAGAGTTGAGGGAGGCTGCTTCGTCTTCCGGGTATCCAGCCATTTCCAGGGAATGCACGGAGTGCAGGTCGTCAGGTGTTGCTGTGCGGAATGTCAATTGTTGGTCCAAGATGGCTTCTCTGCAGGACACTGATGCATGCCATGACATGCAATGGCGTGCAATGTGGTTCCATGCAATGCCATGCCATGCCATGTCACACCCCGTAATTCATGCTAGCCACTCCGTGCTATGTCGAGTCACACCGTGTAAGCCATTACAACAGAGCAGGACATATCTCAGAGAATCTACGATAAGGGGATATGGACGAGCGAGCTAGAGCATGAACATTGAAGAATCACGCTGGATCCTTCCTACCATACGGGTCGGATGCGAGTTTCTTTGCACGAACTGGCGAAGTCCGGCCTGCAAAATCCTGGCTGACCGGCGACTGCACGAATGCGAGCTGGTAACCAGAGGGACAGCTTTCACCCCATCGCGAAATGAAGTTCCGACCTCGCCGTTTGTTTCCGAAGCCAGCAAATCGTTGGATTTGTTCGTGAGCGATTCCTATGGATTTAACCGCAGGAATGGCGGCGACGGCAACGGCAGGAGTGCAGGATGACATTGAGCACGAGAGGCTGAATCCGCTGAACAGCGGGGTGGATAAAGTCGTACGAAGCATTCTCATGGAATCATTCATGACAGTACATTCGAAGCACCCTCCCCGTGAGCACTCCGCATTTGGAACAAGCTGAAAGAAGGCTGATCCAAGAATGGCCATCAAGATTGTAGTAGCACATGCTTGCAGGTTCTAGCAGCACTCGTGGATTCAATCGCTCGAAACCAGATGCCATCATGGACTAGATTGAGACTTCACCTCCTATTCCGTAAATTACACACATCATGTATGTCAACCATTATCATCCCCAAAAAACCCACGTACTTATGTGGCATCATTGCTCTTCTCCATAGTCGCTGCACCCTATAGTCTTCAACACATCCAAGCCTTTACAAACATCCCACATGGGCACATTACATTCACTACTAAGACAACCTAACGACTCCATCCATCCAAGCTTTATGCAACCCCCAACTGTTCCTTCGTCGCTTCTACCAGCTGATTCGCACGGCGCACTTCCCACAGCTGCCCCTCAGCAGCTTGCTTCCGAGAAACGCGTGCCAGCGGGGGCAGCTTCGGTGCAGGCGACAACGGAGGAGGGGGGGTCACCCCCACAAGACCACACAGCAGCTCCGCCTCTTCCCTTGGAGAAGCAGGGGCTTGAATCGTCCGTCCAGTGATCACTTTCTCAAGCTTCTTCAGCTCACTCGCAACTCTCGCCCCCTCCTCTTCCACCTCTTTCTCCACCAGGAGCCCCTCCTCTGACTCCTCCGCTCCCTGTTCACCCACCACTCGTTTCTCCTCAGCTTCTCCCTCGGGCTTGCCGAGTTCCTGCCTTGCAAAATCCGCTGCTGTCGTCTCCTCTGCTGCAGGTGCTTCGACTCCAGCCTCAGCTGCTTCACCCTCACGGACACGTGCCACGCCAGTCAGGTCCTGCTCACAAGGGCAACATGCACACAAGGTTAGAACCAGCCACTGCTAATGCAGAATGACTGACGACATTTATCTGAGCACCAAATAAAGTTCACAGCCAAATAAACACGCACTTGTGAACTGCTGCTAAGGGCACAGTGTATTCACCTTCGGGATGTGATGAAGCACCAGGGTTGGCCCCTCCTGTTCCTCCTCCCCCTCCTCCTCCTCCTCCTCCACCAGCTGCTTCTTCCCTTCCTGCTCCTGCTGCTCTCCCCGCTCGAATTCTCCCACCCCTGCATGCCTTTCTTCAGCCGGCCCCTCTTCAATCCCACCATGACCCGCCGCCTGGGCCCTCACCCTCAGCCTTGGACCACCCAGCCCCGTCGGCCCTTCCATGCTCCCCAGCCCAGCCACCGCCCTCGCTTTAGGGAACCCTGCCACAAGCACAGACTCAGGGCTCGAAGGCACAGCTCGAATGCCAGCAGGAGGGGTAGGAGCAACGTGAGGGGGGCCAGCTGGCGGAATGGCAGTTGGAGGAACGCCAGTCTGCGGGATGTCAGCTTGTGGGACAGTAGTTTGAGATGGGAATCGGCACGCAGCATCCACGTTGGTCCTCTCCCCAGCCTGCGTCGCTCCAAACCCAGCAGTCCTGCTGCTCGGGTCCCTTAACCCACACGCTGTCTTGCTTACAGGTGGTAGACCAGACCGAGCCTCTTTGCCGGTAAGAGCGGGCTCTGGCAGTCGGCGAAATACTTCTTCCTGTTCGTAATGCTTCCCTTGCACGTCTGGGGAAGGCTGCCATGGCCGTCTAGCTGCGGTGCTGCTGGGACCCTGAAGGAGCTTCCGCTGGAACGCGCGGGGCTGCACACCGAATTTAGGGAGCGGAAAAAAGCGGCATCGAGAAAGGAAGAGACATGCAAAAATGTTCAGCGAACATTTTACCGCTTGAGCCTGCTTCAGGAGACCTGGATTAGCAACAGAAATTATCTTGTCTGTCATGCAAACATATTTGACAAAACTAATTCGCAGAACACGAACTTGTGACTTCTGTAAACGTTGTCATATTTCTGTACTTCCGCATCCATGCCTTAATACAGCTACATACTACCATATTTACAGATGGGAATCTAAAATGCTCTTAAATACCTGTATCTTATCAACCATAGCTGTAGTGTTAAATGGTCATACCTTGATATAGGTGTAAGCAGCAAAAATGGCAATCAAAGGCGAAAACAGGAAGGCTGTGGGCAGGAGAAACGGCAGAGAGATGGCAGCTGCTGAACCAATCGCGACCACCGAAGCAAACTGCATAGGTTTTCCAAAAAAGGAAGGGAGAAATTAGTGCACTGAAGTAGATTGTAAGGCACATCCTGCTCCGAGCTGATTAGTTACGGACAAGGATGACCGCGACGAATAGAGCAAGGCAACGTGGCATGGATACTCACCATCTTGGCAAGATACGTGGCATCCTCAGTGAGCGTCGGCATGATGGCCTCACCTCTCTTCCCCACAATTCACCCAGAGTCACGCTGCACAATACAAGATAAGCTGGCTGAGAGCTGCTGGATCCTGAGATTCTCTCTCATCCACCAGGACTCGCGTGTGCAGAGTCTAAAAGCAGACGGAAAACTCGAACCAAGGCTGCAGCACTCAGCCTGCTTCTCCGTTGGCTTGCCGTCGCCAGAGGTTGACCATCTGCCAGCTTGAAGCTCCGTTCCGATCACCAACGGATTCACGTCGTGTAGGGGACCTTCGAGGTGACCCTGTCAGCCGGGTTCTCAGGCAGGGGACCACACACACGCAGCCAGGGCCGCCGACGCACTGTAGGTCGTTACCCATAACCTCGGAACTAATCAGGCTTTGCCAGGCTGTGCCAGGACGCGTTTCTTGCTTCCTGAGGAAGACTAGGAGTTTATCTTGATCTGCTTTGTTATACGACAAACCAATGGTTGCCCATCCAGGAACAGCGCATGCAGCCAGGGCCTGTCGCCTTGGCTTCCGGGAATCTGGCTCAGAGATCCACCTGGCATATTACAACTAGTGTTACATTCTTGTAACGATTCCTGTTTCCGCAAACCTCGTGAGTGAGCGCTCGCATGCGGGAGGAGAGCGAGAGCGCATTCATGAAGAGACAGGAGAGCGCCGCAACTGACGGCACTAAAACGCGCCATCCGTCAGGCATGCATGTACATTGGATTGCCGAGAAGAAGCCAGAAGGTCAGAAGACATGTTGGTGAGCAGAGAAAGTTTCGGCGTCCCCGGTAAGGAAGGGAACTCGAGACGAGATACCGATAATATTCATGAGCCAGGTAAGCAAGTTGATAAGGGTAAGTAAATGGAGATGCCCTCTCCCAATCATGAGAGCTGAACTCATTTGGAGCTTACCATCTGAAAACGAGTGGCAAGTACGAGTCATCCTTTGAGTCATAAGTGGCAGAGATATCTGCCAATTTCATTACAGCAATATGACTACCCTAATCATTGGCTAGCACTAAGAAAGCTACAGAAATATACAGGAGGAACACTGGGTACACTGCTAGGAACTTCCTAGCCTCTGGCACGGCTCCGGACACGAAAGGGTAAGCTGCAGAGGAGCTCCAGAGCAGGGTGACAATGACAACAGCGAATCTAATCCACTTGCTGTAGATAAATAGGCACACGAAGGCTCCAACGTCAAGTGGGAAAAGGCAGTAGCCAAGGACACTGAGGCTCTGGAAGAAGATGATCCTCCCTCCCTGCAGAAAATTCCCAAGAATTTGTCAGAAATAAAACAAAACATGCTGAGCGAAGAATGTTATGCATGGCAAGTGAAGAATGTGTCAAGAGAATTGGGGATTGCCAAGAGATTGCGTAGCACACTTGAAAGCTTGTAACAACAGGACAAGAACATACCAGTAGGAGCACATTGAGAGTGAGAATGACTGCCCCAGACGAGAGAACACCGAAGACCACTGCAAAGACTTTGGACTGGCAACACAACGGGAACACATGCATAAGGGGGGAGATTGTCACATTGTCAGCTATTTTCCAGTATGTGTTATATGCGTGTTCCTGATGGCCTAAAGGAGACATGACGATTCCTTTTAGGACTGCCAAGCGAAAATGTACAACCTACTGGATAGACCACCTTGTTTATACTCCCCAAACAACCCCTTTTCCCAGCTTTCCATTTAGAAATCTACAATTCCACCTTCCTCTGCTGGGGCAATTTCGTGGTCGTTCCGGCGTGACCATAATCTCAAAACCACAATTAATTCATTCTGGAGTGAACTACGAGTGCGAGCCGGGGGGCATCTCTGGGGAAAAGGGATGGCAGTGAGAAAAAGTGCATGCAATCGTCAAGGACCAACTGAATGGAAAAGCTTACCTTGTTTTCGGAAGCGGAGGATGAGAGGATGAAGGCGAGGAAGATGATGAAGAAGAAAGGACCCCACAGGTCCCAGTCACGGATGGAGCTGTGAGCCCCCTCGCCTCGTCCGATCGGCAGCACCACGTTTCGAAGGTTGTGTATCACACGCCACACGTCTCTCTTCAAAGTCACCATAACGGGTTCTGCAGGGTCCAACCAGGGGTCAGATTTTAACGATGCGTGCAGAATGCCAGCAAAATCAGGCACATGAAATTCGTTGAAGAGTCACGGAAAAATGTTGCTTCACCTACCATTGAGAGTGTTATAAACAGGCGGGCCTTCCGAAGTCGCCATCGTAACGATGGCAGACGTCGGAGTGCTCGGATCGCCTGCGTTACTCGGAGCGCTGCTCACTGGAAGAAGCGGTACCACTGTTTCAGCCTTCCCGGTTGGGTCTGGTGGAGGACCTCCCGCAACTATTCCAGCTGTTTCCAAAGGAACGGACTCCATATGGAAAAGGCTAGAGATCTCGTCGCTTTCTGCCTTCGCTTGTTGCGAGCTCCCTGATCTGACATCCGCCATGAGGGAGCGATCAACGGTTGGATTCTCTCCTATAGTGTCTCCAGTAAATTCTCTTCAACAGTCCGAAATCGGCAGTGATCTACCTGAGCACCACTACAACCCGTTCTTGGATTCTAGAAGAAACCACAAATGTCGTCGAGGTCAACGAGGCAAATAAGGCGGGATCCACAGAGATAGCCGAACATCCAGAGAGGGACGCTCATCTAGAGAAATTATAAACGGTCATCTGATCTGAGTGTGGTTAGGATCCGCCAGGAGTTCAAATCAGGCAGTGACAGGGAATGACCGATGGATGCGAGGAGGACGTAAGGAAATGAGTCGACGCGCTTTGTAACAGAAGGGGTTACCCATTTAAATTGTATAATGCACAAAAGAAATCCCCCTACTTTCATACTATATGATACTTCAATCAGCATATGGGTCTTTTCGTATGTTTAGCATAATAGTAATCCATCAAATGCTGCTCAACATCTCAACTTTCTGTATTCAAACGAAGCGCCGCTCCTTCAGTAGTATTATAACATGTTGGAAATACCTCAAGGACTTAAGCGTTTCTGAAGTGTAACACCACACTCAAGGAAGATCGTAACGAGTACGCGAGTCAACGGAGGTTACACGAGGGGGTGGACAAAGAACACGAAGGGTCGCAACCGGAGGTTGCGACTGACCGTTACAACTGCAAGGATGGTGACCGAAGCGACAATCGAGTCGCTGTGCGACTCGATAACCGTTCCATCAACTGTATTCTACAACTGCCTTACTTTCCTACTTTTCTATATATTGCTGTATGCTTGTTTCTTTTAATCAATCACTTGTTCTCATATACTAGTACAAGGGTTCAACTACTCAACTTCCGCTGCACTTCTCAAGTCTCATTTCTCAACTGGGACTTAGTCTCTGAAAGATCCTAAGGGCTTTTCTCAGCCCAACATGGTATGAGAGCTGGTCAGAGACCAAACTCCCAGCAACTACGTTCTATCTGCAATCAGCACATCAACGACTTCATTGATTACAAGTCATGGACAGCAAGGGCAACAAAATCTCTACGGGCTCACCCAGCGCCCAAGACACTCAAACCGGCAACTCTGGATTGCACACTTCAGGACTGCAAACCGAGACCGGCGCTGCTCAAGAAACAACAGGAAGAGCACCGGAAATGGTGACCCCATCACCCTCTTCAAGCGTGGATCCGAACCTTATGGAAAGGTTCTTCAGCTTCATGTCGCACTTCGACCAGCAGCAGCAGACAAGAACACCTGCGCATTCAATACAGAGCAACGGAGGAAACATGGGATTAGCGCCGATGAGCCTTGACAACTCATCGTTCGGGCGACACAATCAAGCGCCTACCTTTGCTCCTTATCACTCTTCACCAGGGACGTTCGAGTTCATGCCGCCCCGTGCCCAACCAACAGCAGCTGCATCACAACAAACACCAAACGAGATACTTAGTCTCCAGGCGCAGTTTTCACACGTGATCAAACTGCAGACATCCTCACCGTTCAACGGACACGACTTCTTTACCTGGAGCTTTGAGTTCGAGCTGCTGATGGAGGCTGCGCATCTCTTGGGATACTTCAACGGGTCCCTGCGATTTCCAAGCAATGGCACTGCGAAAGAACAAGAAATTTGTACGTATCAGTCGCTGTTGGCGTACACAGTCCTCCTGCGGAACCTGTCACCACAAGAGCAGTAAAGCATCAGAACGTATCGGAGCTATGGAAACTCCGCGGAACTCGCATGGCATCACCTCAAGTGTCTCTATCAAGCAAACGACAGTGTGACACAAAGCAGACTCATGCAGCAACTGACAACAATACAGATGAAGACCGGAGAAAAGGTGATGCAGTATATGAGTCGATGCCAGACACTCCGCGACCGCCTGCTTCGGTGCGGAGGAACGATCACTGAATAAAGCTTCGTGACGCTTGTCCTCGCTGGGCTCGGGCCAGAATGGAGAACCACCCGCTCGCTTCTTCGCGCCCACGGACGAATCTCGGAGATGCACCTCTGCGCCGAGCTCCATGCTGAACAACAAGAGATGGACCTGTTTGAAGAAAGGCAACCAAGGAAGCAACAACCGTTAGTCTTCTACACTCAATGAAGGAACTACAACAACTACAATCGACGCGGCAAGCAAGATCAACGCGACAACGGAGGACTCACCATTGTGTCGCCGTTCTGCCACAACTGCCAAACATCCGGACACTCCAAAGTCAACTGCACACGTTCCCGAGCCTATCGTCCAGTAGACCCACAAGTCGCTTCCACTCAAGAAAGCCCGCCGAGGCGCTCCTCCACATCTGCACAAGGTACACCGAACATCATCAACTGCATGGTACACATCAACAGCTGCGCACCCGGATCACCACCCACTTACGCTCCAGACGAAGAAGAACTACCGCCGCCGTGCTCACAAGGACTTAAGGTCAACCCGACATACGCTACGGTCGCCAACGCCGAACCCACCGAGCGAAACACCTGGTTCTTGGACAGCTGCTGCGAACAACACATGTGTTCTTCCGGGCGATTCGTGCAACGAGAGCGACGCCTCAACCGTGATGTCATCATCACCGTCGCCAACAACGAGAACCTGAAAACAAACAGACAAGGAGTGGTTCAGTTACAGTCCATGGAGACAAACGTTATACTGCAGCTCAACAAAGTTCTCATCGTCGACAACTTGGGATACAACTTACTCAGCGTCAGCCAGTTAATGGCAAAGGGGATTCACCTCAAGTGCGACTCGGACTCCAACGAATTTCGCCTTTACCACGGGAAGGGCGGTCTCTTCATCGGTCGCACTCTCCTGAAGTCAGGTGTCTTCGTGTTGGATTTCGTCTCCGACCGCGATACTGCCGACAGCGATGGCATCGTGTCGTTCGCAGCCTGAACGCACCCGCCGGATCTTGACCCCGACTTCACCCCAGATGGATTCTGGTACTCAAACACCATACCTGCAGCAGAAAGAACACGAGCGTTAGCAGTCATCAGACAAGAAAGACAAGTACCAGCAAGCGTCTCTTCCCAGACATCACCTGCAGTAGCAGCAGCAGGACCCAGCCGAGTACCATCACTAGCGATCCGAGGACAACCAACCGAAGCAGATCAACTCATACCCATCACACGTGAAGTCTGCCGAAGTTCCGCCACGGTCGTCGCGTTCTTCTCCAACACCGACATGTACCAACGCTCGCCCGGCCATCGCGCCGCCGACGACATCTGGCACCAACGCCTTGGACATCCTGCAAACAGCACGGTACAACAAACCATCCAAGCCGAAGTGTTAGAACAAAACGCTCTTCTAACAACGAGCGGCCAAGAACTTCGACGACCTCGAGCACGGTGCTTCACGTGCCCCGAAGCAGATCTTCCCCATCAACCTTTCCCATCACATCACAATCCAAGTGCACCTGCATATGCACCGATGGAAAAAGTTTACAGCGACATCTTAAACATGCCTCGAGACGACACCGAAGCCGACTTCAACTATGTCATTACGTTCATCGATGCAGCAACAATATATGTTTGGCACTACAACCTCAAGACGCGAGACCAAGCCTTCGAAGCCTTCACGACGTGGCTCCTCATCGCTGAACGAGAATCAGGAACCAAGCTCAAGAGCTTCCAGTCAGACGGCGCACTGGAATACCAGTCACAACAATTCAGGACCTACTTGGCAGAAAGGGGAATCGGACGCCTGGTGTCCCTGCCCTACGCTCACCAGCAGTAGGGGGTCGCAGAGAGAATGAACCGGAACTTGCAGACGACGATGCGGAAGCTGCTCCTGGGGACGAGAGTGCCCAACACACTGTGGCCAGACGCGATGACCCATGCAGTCCACCTGCACAATTTGCTATCCTCGTCATCGCTTCCCAACAACGCATCACCGCACCTGCTGTGGACACGAAAAAGGGGCAGCACAAAATTACTCCGGGTTTTCGGCTGCATGGTACAGTACATACCCCACACAGCCCGAGCAGGACGATTCACTCAACGAGCACGGTGGGGATTACACCTCGGCATCGCAAAACATTTTCAAGCATGGAAAATCCTCGACATACAAGATAAAAATACCGTGGCATCACGTGATGTGATCTTCTACGAACGACTAACGCTGCAGCATTACCTGGACAAGCATCAACGGGAAGAACGTCCTCTCGGGGAAATGGGTGTACCGCATCAAGACCAATGCGGACAGCTCCATCAAACGATTCAAAGCTCGCTGGGTCGTACGAGGATTCGATCAACGATACGGAACCGACTACACAGAAACATTCGCCCCAGTCTCCCGTCACACCTCCTTGCGCATCCTACTCGCCGTCGCGGCCACAAAGAAACTACCACTGCGCCAGATCGACGTCGCAAATGCTTTCCTGTACGCATCTGTGGACGCCGAGATCTTCGTCGAGCAGCCCCACTGATTCATCGACGACCCCACAAAAGTATGCCAGCTGATAAAATCCCTTTACGGGATCAAGCAAGCCCCGCGGCTTTGGCAGCAGCATCTTCACGGTCGCCTCGTCAGAATCGGATTCCTACAGCTGCCGCACGACCAAGGCATGTACCGACTACAGAAGGAAAGGGAATTCATCCTACTCATCGTCTACGTCGACGACCTGCTCTACATCGGCTCCACTACTGACATCGCCACCTGGTTCGAAGGGGAGCTAAAAAGGGACTTGACACTCACGGTGTCAGACACCGTAACCCAATACCTGGGTCTGAACGTCGTCGAAGACAACTCGGCGTTCTACTTATGTGCTGAAAAATACCGCTATCGCTATCGCTATCGCTACGGGAACAACAACGACACCTCCGCAAAACTCCCCGCGAAGCAAATCCAGGAGTATCAGCAGAAGCTCGGCTGCCTACTATTCGCAGCAGTAACCTGCCGACCTGACCTATCCTACAGTGCGAGCCAACTGGCGACGCATCTGAAGCAGCCGGAACAAGAAGATCTCGAAGAACTAAATCGGGCACTACTCTACTTCGTCTCTACGCCGACGACCGGAATTACCTACAGCAAAGTAACAACACCGTGCGTACAACTACTCGGATACGTCGACGCCGACCACGCGGGAGACAGGGAAATTCGACGATCGAGAACGGGCTACATCTACCGACTAGAACCTATCGGGACTGTCTCCTGGCAGTTGAGTAAACAGGAACTAATCGTACTACCTTCGGCTGAAGCAGAATATATCGCCCTCTGCACCGCGACCAAGGAAGGACTCTACCTGCGAGAGTTACTCGAGGAAGCAAAGATTGCGACCCTGCCCGTCTTCTCACTCCTCTGCGACAACCAATCTGCGATAAAAATCGCGAACAAGGACGGCTTCGCCAACCGAACCAAGCACATCGCCCTGCGATACTTCTTCGTCAAGAATGAAATCGCGAAGGGGAGACTTCAACTCAGTTACTGCCCTACGACAGAAATGGCCGCAGACTACCTGACGAAGAAACTGCATGCTGCTAACCAGGCAGACAAACATCACCGGATCTGAACACGTCAGCACTCCAGAAACGAAGGGGAGTGTTGGAAATACCTCAAGGACTTAAGTTTCTCAAGTGTAACACCACACCCGAGGAAGATCGTAACGAGTACGCGAGTCAACGGGGGTTACATGAGGGGGTGGACAAAGAATACGAAGGGTCGCAACCAGAGGTTGCGACTGATCGTTACATCTGCAAGGATGGTAACCGAAGCGACAATCGAGTCGCTGTGCGACTCGATAACAGTTCCATCAACTGTATTCTACAACTGCCTTACTTTCCTACTTTTCTATATATTGCTGTATGCTTGTTTCTTTTAATCAATCACTTGATCTCATATACTAGTACAAGGGTTCAACTACTCAACTTCAGCTGCACTACTCAAGTCTCATTTCTCAACTGGGACTTAGTCTCCGAAAGATCCTAAGGGCTTTTCTCAGCCCAACATAACACAATGAGTTCCTTCGTTTTAGTGTGAGCAAAACGAAGACATTGAGTTCCTACTGCAGTATTATAAAACAAAATATTCACACCAAATCTTCAATCAACCATTTCAAAGCGGCCTTCAATCAACAATGCCAAAATTGGATAGAAGAATGAAGAGCTGGTCCGGGAAGTTCACCCCTGTGGCATATTCTGTAAGCAAGCCCACTGCCAGTCCAAACATAGCCCACCTGCAAGGAGAGGAGGGAAGATTCAGAAAGTGATGATGACAATGGGAAAATGGAATGAAAACAGAGAGTCAACGGATGGAAGGAGGACGACAGAGAGGAAACAGAGGATCCTAACAGGTCAGAATTGGTCATTGTTGATCGGAGCACATGACAACAGACAAGGCGGAAAGAGAAGGTGGTGGGAAGGGAAGGGAGGGGGGGGAGGAGATTAAAAAGGGGGGGCGGGAATTGGGGTAAACCGAAGCTGAATGCGCCCACTTCGCAGCGCCCCAAAATGGATCCCCTTGGTTGTAAGGGAAGCGCTCAGCGAAGTGTGCTAGGCATTCAAGCACGCGGCAGCATGCCAGGATGAGAGCCGATATACCCGCCAAACAGTGGCCAGCTAAAAAAAAGGGTTCGCGACAAAGGCGACAGCCAGAACCATATGGTTGGCAGCTCGCAAAGAAGTTGCTTTATCACTGAGCCAGACTACGAACCTATCACGCCTGCACAACACTCGCGACCTCTTGGAGCCTATGTGTTCCAGGCCCGTTTCAGTGTGAACAAACTCACTCCATGCCAAAACGCTGCCGACGAACAGGTGTACTCGGATGTGAGAATTCCTTCCAGTGAAGGTCTCTGTTCACTGGTAGTTAGGTGCCATACCAGGTGCGGAGAGAGAGAGAAAGAGAAAATATACGAGCGGAGGGGCAGAGTAGTCTCCAATGACCATCAATTGCGGCTGGTCATCGCGAAACACATCGTGGTGAAAGGTGCTCTAGGCAAGCCGTTAGAGCACGAGGATACGATAGCTTAGAAGAACGAAACGTACCGTCCGTTGCCAATCTCGTTCTTGCTGGTGAAGCCGAGCACCTTCCCGTCCCGCACCTCCTCCTCGTACTTCTTATCCTGGAAGTACGCCACCATCTCCTTCGCCGCCTGTCGCTGGTACTCCAGAGTCACGCCAGCTGGAATCGTCGCTGCTGAGGATAAGGCTGAAGCGGTAGGAGCGGGTGTTGCTGGAGCGTCAGCTGACTGGGGAGTGATGGGACCTGGTCGCCGGATGGGCTCGGCCTGGCAGATGACGGTGCATCGGCGCATGCTGGTCGCCGTTCTGGGAGGAGCGAGCGACAGCTTCATTGTGGACGTTGCTGACGACATCGAGCACGCGAGGGCCATGACGTCGTTACGAGGGTGGAAGGGGATAAGGCGGAAGGGTATCCTCAAACGCGGAATAACCTGGGCGTCTCGACGCGAGACTGTCTGGAGCAACTGTGAACAGAGATGTGTAAAATCCTCGCGACAAGATGCTCCTTCCGCAGGAAAATGGCAATGTCAACCAAATAGCTTCTCTTTGACACAACTGAACCAAAACCAAGACAGATTGTCAAGCCACGCTGCAGGACACCACCCGCAGCAGCCACGCAGGCCTTGGGATTGTCGGGTTCCAGGGCGTGCCAAGGTCCAACCAAAAAGGGGGGGCTCCCTGGACTGGATGCGAAAGGTCCACGTATCCTTCGCCAGTGAGTCGAGGCTCTTGGGGTCTGCGATGGTGCCACGTCAAAATCAGTGACAGATCTTGCTGGCAGGAGATTTGCGCGAAAACGGGAACTCTGTAACTGTGAGAGAAGTTACCGTGGGGTCAGCCTATACACTGTAGAGACATCTCAGAATAACGTCACAGCTAATTGTTGAAGCTAATTACTCATCCTGAGGGAGTTAACTGATTAGCAATGTACAATAGAACGCTTCACAATCCAGATTAACGCCACAACTTCTTCAGAGACATGTTCTGCTCCGAATCCTTCTTCATGACCTTCCCAACTGCCATCTCGAAATCCTCCTGTGTCACATGGACCCTTCGTTCCCGCAGGGCAAACATGCCAGCTTCTGTGCAAACAGCCTACAGGTAAGATGAGGGGAAGGGAGGAAATGCAAAGATAAGCTTTCAAACAGCTACCTAAATGACAAGAAACAATAGCGCCCCCCATCTCCCCCCCCCTCCCCCCCCCACCCCTCCCCCCCACCCCAGGCTAGGCAAACGACCACCGCCTATTATGCAGCCATACCTCGCTCCATCTCCTCCTGCACCATTTGACCTCATTTCTCAATAGAGGAAGGCGTGCAACACGCAACGCCACGACTCACCTTGAGCTCAGCACCACTTGCTCCATTCATCTTCCCAGCTATCTTGGCAAGGTCGATGCCCCTCATCAAGTTCATCTTGCGCGAGTGGATCTTGAGAATGTCCACACGAGACTGAATCAAGGTAACAGAGGCAAACCAACAGAACCAAGGGAACAGGCCCAAGGGAACAGAACCAAGAGAACAGAACCAAGAAGGTGCTCAGTGAGAGATGAATATATTTCCCACAAAGAGTAAGTTTTAAACAGAAAAAGTGAAGGAAAATTATCACCGGCAAGCATGCGCTCTCTGGTAACGAAGCAACTTTCTTCAAATCGGAGTGACATCATGCAGAACGCATGCTTCCAAAGGGTTCTTCTCACCTCTTCGCTTGGGTTGGGGAACTCAATTTTGCGGTCGATGCGGCCAGGCCTGAGAAGAGCTGGGTCCAGAATGTCAATACGGTTGGTCGCCATCAGCACCTGCCCAGTGCCCATCAGGCAGGATCAAAGAAAGGCCATACAAATCAGCAGACCAAAAGCACCTGTCGAGTGCCCTTCAGTAGTTCCAAAACAGGACTACACAAGATTGAGGCGGTAAGCAGATTGATGAATAAAATGAGAAATGGACCTCACAAACAGCACAAGTGAGCCACACAGGAGTACACAAGATTGGGGCGGTAAGCAGATTGATGAATGAAATGAGAAATGGACCTCACAAACAGCACGAACGAGCCACAGGACTACACAAGATTGGGGCGGTAAGCAGATTGATGAATAAAATGAGAAATGGACCTCACAAACAGCACGAGCGAGCGCTACATTTCTCAATGCCACACCTTGATCTGATTGGACGCCTCAAACCCGTCAAGCTGGTTGAGCAGCTCGAGCATGGTGCGCTGCACCTCACTGTCCCCGTTGCCGCTGCCCGACTCCATGCGGGCCGACCCGATGCTGTCAATCTCGTCCATGAAGATGATCGACGGGGCATGCTCCCTGGACAACGAAGACGTGATACAAGAGAGTACATAGCAAGCAGCAAAAACAGGTGAGCGCCCGGCTCTATGTGCGCCCATTAGATGCAGTCAATCTCGTCCACACAAATGATCGACGGCGCACCGGACCCACCTGGCCATGACGAAGAGCTCTCGCACCATGCGAGAGCCCTCTCCAATGTACTTCTGCACGAGCTCCGAGCCGGACACTCGGATGAAGGTGCAGTCCGTGTGGTGCGCCACCGCTCGCGCCAGAAGGGTCTTGCCAGTACCAGGGGGGCCATAGAGCAGCACTCCCTGGGCAGGTGAGAGCCAGGAGAAAGACAGGGGAACAAAAACATGAGGAGACCCATGAATGTGTACAGCAGGGGGAGTCTATTTTTGAGGCGCCTCAAGAATGTGTACAGCAGGGGCAGCAATCGCCCAGACAATGCGAGAAAGACAATAGAAATGAAGTACTCAGGAAAAAAAGGGGGAAAATATATGCCTGTCTGAGACTTGGGTTGTAACATCTGAACTCACCTTTGGCTGGGCAATTCCGAGGCTCTCAAACAGCTCCGGATGCTTGATGGGCAGCTCAATCACCTGCACGAGAGAGAGAGACACAGCAAGATGGTTTTGAGACTTCTCAAAACAAGAATACTATCACACGGATGTTTGATTGGGCAGCAGCTCAACCACCAGCATGAAAGACACAGCAAGGAAACCTCTTGGGTGCTTCAATCTCAACATCCATCTAGTGTAAAAATAACCGCACACAAGAAAGTGATGTGGAAGACGTGAATGTGTCATTCATAGTGCAAAATCCTCACCTCCTTGATTTCCTTGATCTGCTGGTCCAGCCCGCCGATCATGTCGTAGGTGACTTACAGCCCACTGAAAAGCCACCTCGTGCCCTTGACGCCAGACTCCTCACCTCCTTGATCTCCTTGATCTGCTGGTCCGGCCCTCACCTCCCTTGGCAACTCTCTCGCTCCCTCACTCACCTCCTGGATCTCCTCGACCTGCTGGTCCAGCCCGACAATCAAGTCGTAGGTGGAGTCAGGGACCTACGTTTAGGCGCCTCAAGCACACACCATGCGCTGAGGTGGTTGAGCCCTCACCTCCCTTCACATCTCTCACCTCCCTTGACATCTCTCACCTCCTTGATCTCCTTGATCTGCTGGTCCAGCCCGCCGATCATGTCGTAGGTGGAGTCAGGCACCTTTTCCACACGCATGAGCGACACCAGCGGGTCCACCTTGCTGGGCAGCACCAGGTGCAGCACGTAGCTGTCGTTCCTCAGAGCCACGCGCGTGCTGGGGGTCAGCTTCGTGACGTCGATGCCCTTGTCCACGTCAACGACATACTTGCCCTCTGGGTGAACCTGAGGTGGCGAAAGAGAATGTGCAAAGAAAAGGAGATTCCACTCAGGTCGACGCCCTTGTCCACGCCAACCACGTACTTGCCCTCGGGGTGCACCTGCAAGAGGAGGGAAGTGTGGCAATATGCGAGAGGAGAGAGAAGTGTGTGAGGACATGCAGAGGTGCCTTTGGCGTCAGCTTCGTGACGTCGATGCCCTTATGCACGTCCACCACGTTTGCCCTCGGGGTGCACCTGCGAGTAGAGGGAAGAGAATGTTAAGAGAGATGGGGATTCCCAGAAAGAAAAGAGCATAGGGAATTCCCTGTCCAGATCGACCACACACTTGCCCTCTGGGTGGACCTCAGAGTAGAGGGGAGTGCAGAGAGAAACGTAGAGAAGAGTGTGAGGATATGCAGAGGGGACTTTGAAGTCAGCTTCGGGAGCGCGATGCCCTTGTCCACGTCAACCACGTACTTGCCCTTATGGTGCACCTGCGAGCGGAAAAGACTGTTTAAAGAAGCCAAGAAATGCCTGTGCCCACGTCCACCACGTACTAAGTACTGTAGGCCCGGATCAGACGACATCCGTCTTCCGCATGGATGAGCGAGGCGAATTCAGCCAGCCAGAAGTAGAAATCAAGTGATTACAAGTGATAGCGACATACCTTGACGAGCACCTTGGTCTTTCCCATCACTTTGACCACCTCGCCCACATAAGAGCCAGGCTCCTGCAGCAGCTGCAGCTCCTCCTTGAGAGCACGCACTGCAGGTACGAGGGATGGGTGTCGGTGGGAGGAATCACGAGATTAGAGCAGACGGAAAACTGCATCGGTTCTTAGACAAGCACCTCGGCGACATAAGAGCCAGGCTCCCGCAGCAGCTGCAGTTCCTCCTTGAGCGCACGAACTGCAGGCACGAGGGATGGGCCAGTGAGTGAGAGGAATCATGAGGTTAGGTTGCGATGTTTTAAGTATGGTTGGACGGGTGGGAGGAATCATAAGGTTAGGTTTATTTTTAGGTCGACTCAAAGCAGCTGCAGAGTCCTCCTTGAGAGCACGGACTGCAGGCACGAGGGATGGTTCGGTGGGTGAGGTGAGAGGGATCATGAGGTTAGGTTGACCCAAAGCCAGGCTCCAGAAGCAGCTGCAGCTGCTCCTTGAGAGCACGGACTGCAGGCACAAGGGATGGGCCGGCCGGCGGGAGGAGTGATGAGGTCACAGTAACTCGAAAAACAGTACCGCTTCTAAGACACGGAGAATGAGAATCTGGACGAGAAAGTGCACGGAGACACGAGAGACACGAGAAACACGGTTCTTGACATCTGTGGGCCGATTTATTGCCATGATGAACTGAGTGGCCACGAGATCTGGAAATCGTGTCTGACACGTCAGAAATTTGACCGAGCAGAGGTCGTGATACTTGAAACCGTCTGTTAGGATTATGGCCATCGCACACCGTAATAAACACATCCACATCCAGAAATTCGAGGTACGGGTTTTCATCTGCACACGCTTCGCATGCGTCAGTATGAACGGAATCTGACTATTACGAATCTCAGACCCCGTCAGAACCGAATCTCACTAGTCTGACGTACCTTTAGCGTTCAGCTCATTTCTCTGAGCCTCGAGCCGACGGAGATTCTTCGTCTTCTCTCTAAGGTTGACGTCGATCTGCTCGATGGCTCCTCGGTAATACGTCGCAAGCCCGTTCTTCCCGCTGTCGACGCCCATCGCAGCGACGAATTTAAAGAAAATAAGCTTTCTCGCAACGACGCAATCGGCAAAAGGAGGATCGGCTAACACAGATTCTGATTTGAGCTACTTAGCCTGCTAACTTAGCGCGCTCGACAGTCCCAAGGCCAACAGAACGGTTGGAATTCGAGAGGTGATGAAGCTTGGTTCTGGATCTGATTAACCGAACCGAACCGATCTTTGAACAGTCTGAACCCAACTACAACCTGACTTCGTCATGGGAAGTACAGCCAAGAGGGAATGCCTAATTCTTTCTAAACAGCAGCTGGTTGGCAAGCTATCGGCTGGGCCAACCCAAAGAAATGGCTCTTTCATGAGGCCTTCAAATAATTTCCTAATTACATGAATCATTGTCATATTGCGTGAAGCGAGAATACATTTGATCAAGCTGGTGATTTTTGGAATAAGACATTTTGCATGAAGCCCTTTCTTGAAAAGTACTTTGTCTGTACAGAGCAGAGTGCTTTATAAAGTGGACGAGTGGCTCTGGCACGTGTGTGCCGCAAGCGTCCACATCGCGCTGACTCGTGCGTTGAATGTTCTACAGTAAATGTCAGAACTTTTCCTTGCGAAACCCGAACCAGCGACTCAGAGGCACAGCTCGTCGCAGACACTCGAACGACACACCGCAGCAGACCTGGTCTCAGGTTCGACCTCGGAAATGCCCAAGGCTTGAACTTGGGCTGTACACGTTATCGTAGGTTGCATTACTTTTCGCAGAGATGCAGCGTGGTTGAGGTCTGTACTTCAACGCTTTTCGCGAAAAGTACCGGACCTAAAGCTTCCATAGCTACGATGTTGACCAGTCGTCGTGCGCTTCGGAAATCTCACTTCCGCAAAGCTCTATAAATAGCCGCTGCCCCTCACTTTCCAACCATCATCAGCTTTCTGCACCCGTGTGGACAATCTTCATCGCCTCGATTGTCTAATCAGTTTCTCGCCTGTCTTTTGAAAACCTGCTTCCATACTTCGAGCGCCAGCAATGGCCAACAAGGCACTGCTCCTAGTCTGTGTCATTCTCCTCGCCGCGAATTCCGCCTTGGCGCAGCGTGGTCCGCCTGGCGGAGGCCCTCCTGGCGGTCAGGGGCCGCCGCGCGGAGGCCCTGGCGGGCCTGGCGGCGGAGGACCCGGCGGACCCGGCGGACCTGGTGGTGAGCCGCGCGGTCCTCCGCTGAACCTGACGGCCGTCGGTAATCTGACGGCGGACGTTGGCGCGCGTTTGGCTAACTGCTCCGCGGACCAGGCGGTCCTTGACGGTCGTTTCCACCTCGCCATTTTCAAGTAAGCCTTCCCCTCCGACCCGCGTTCTCGCTCTTTTCGTTGCAGTGACAGTCCCTGCGAGAGTTTTTTAGAATTCGGAGATTTTTTAGAATTCTCAAGTAAGCCTTCACCTCCGGCTCGCGTGCAATGAACAGTCCCGAATCATAAGCCCGTCTTGCAAGCCTTTCCAAATAACCCGGAGCGCCAATATTTACAAAAGGCCGTACTTTTGCCTCTCTTCCTCTCCGCATTCGCCAATACACTTGATTAAGACGAGTTATTAACCAGTCACATCTAATCCCTATTTTCTTCCTCCCGCTACAGGAATTCCACCGGCAGCTACAACCTCCTCGTCGAGGCGCTCCTGGTTGACGCCGCGGGCGGCCCGCCCGACTCCCTCGCGATCGTGGCGGGCGCTGTCTGCGACGCCTCCGCCTCGTCCTCCGCCGTGCTCGCGCTGCCCTTCGCCGCCTCCGATTGGCAGCAGCGCGCCGGCTGGTGGCTGCTGCACGCGGAGGCGCGCCTCGACGGGTTCCTCGAGAATGCCGACGCGACGGCCGTCGACGCTCTCATCACGCTCCTTCCCAACGCGTCGCTCCCGGCGCGCAGCAACGGCAGCCGCAGCGGCCGCGGCGGCAGCGCGGGGGGGGCGGGGGGGGCGCGGAGCGGGCAGGGAGGCAGGCGCATGGGGCTGGGCGTGGGTAGGCTGCTGATGCGCGCATTGGCCCGGGGTCCCGCCAAGCAGGGGGGGAAGCCGCAGCAGGGAGGGCAGCAGCAGCAGGGGGGCCAGCAGCCGCCTGCAGGTGGCTTTTCAGGTGGTTTTCCAGGTGCTGGGGCGGGCAACGGAGTGAACAGCACAGTTAGCGGGTATGCTGTGCTGGCTGGCAGCAGTGCGTCAGGTGCCATCTGGGGCGGGCAGCTCATGGGGGTTAAGATCCCCGCTGCTGTTGGTGCTGCATAATTTGGTGGTGATGGGAACGGCTGGGAGCAGTGGAGCGGGTGGTGTCATCCGGAGTGTGCTGCCTGTGGCTGCAAGACGGTGGTTGTGCCTGGTAGCTGGTAGCTGTAAGACGGTGGTTGAAGTGTGATAATGCTGCTGATGGTTCAGCATTTGGTTGTGAAGGCTGCATTGGGAGACTGCACATATGCATCTTTGAAGCCCGTGGGAGGGGAAGACCTAGGCAATCAGCACAGCTGAGTTTGCATCAGGGGCAGGAATGCTGGCAAGCCACCGTGATTTGACAGCCTTCCTGCACTTGACATCTCATGGGAAACTCTGTGCTATTTAGTCTGTAGGAGCGGAGAACTCTCTACTGATTCCAGTGCAGTGCAATTCCATCAGGATTTTCTGAAAGATAGTATTTGCCAAAGAATGTACTGTAAGCAACATCCAGCATAGTACAGAAGGGTTTGGATTGGAAGTTCTAAGTTCCCTCAAAACCAGTTCATAGTTCCAGAGAAACTGGGAGGCGGGCTGACAAGGTTTCAGGGTAGATGCCATCAGCAGGAGCATGGTACAAACAGGCTAAGGGTGTCATTGGTTGGTGTATTGGAAAGGCCCTCCCACCCAGGTGATAGCCTCTGGATTGAACAGATGTGCAGGCCAGGCAGGCATGCATATCCAGGGGCCATGATGAGCCCACCATCCATCCAGGCCAGGCACACATGTATGTATGCACCATTGCAAGCCAACACCCCCATTCTCTTCCGCCCCCCCCCCCCCCCCCCCTCTTCCCCCTCCCCCCAACCCCCCCACCTCCCCTTGCTTCCCCGAACCCAGCCCACTCCCAACACATCATTCCAGCCACTAGACCTTTAACCTTCTTCTCACACTCTCAACCAATGCAGACAGCAGTATGGCATGAAACCATGTTAGTCATAACTAATTCCAAATGCTGTATTTTGCGATCCGTATGCACGCCACCACTATAAGCAAACGTGATTTGCCGAAGCGCTCAAATCGGATCGAATTGAATCGTCCGAGCCCGATTACACTCACAAGGCGAGCGGTGCGGTTATGGAACGGGCATACTTAAGCTGGGCACATGTTTCACGAGGTGACACAAAGCGCTAGCGCCAACCGCAACACATCCATGGCTCTAGGTGCTGCCGCAACAAGCCAAGGCATGTTAGAATAGTTCCGAGTTCTGCAGTAAAGGAAGCTGAGCACGCTCGCAACTGACGACCACAGCCCTTGCAGGAGCTTATCGAGGGGCTTCGGCGAACGATTAGTGACTCGAAATACAAAACAGGTGACACGAGACACTGTCGCTGACTGCTCTTCCTACTAGTTCAAATCGATAGGCGTTCATTAAACTCGCTGCACTAAGTGTTTTAACACGTGAGCTCGAGCGATAAGGTGGAGGATTGGGGGGGAGGGGGGGAATGCGAGCTGCAAGCGAACCAGCAGCAAGGGAGATCCACTAAATCGGCTACCCTCAAAAGGAGCAACGTAAGGTCGCTGCATCGACTACGCACGCCGAGAATAGCTACACCCGACACCCGCATACCGTCTCTCCACGTCCAAAACTGCTACATGGCCGCACGTCCAAGCACGCCAACAATCAACGGAGGCCCACCACGGTCAAATTAGCTAAAAATCAGCGACGGCCACTGCGGAAAGGCGGCCCACCGCCGCCGCGACCAAAGTCGCGGTCGTCTCGGCGAAAGTCGTCACGCGGGTGGCTCCTGGGGCCCTGGCGGGCGAAATCGATTCGCAGGTTGGGCGACGTGTAATCGTTCTCGTCAAAGCGGTAGCCTGCAAGGTTTCGGTGGCCGGGGGGAGAGGACTAGATTCGGAGGATCGGAACCAGTTGTTATTGTTCGCTGTCGTCAAAGCGGTGGCACACACGAATCGTTGGTAGGAACGAACGAACGCACGCACCCACGAACGCACGCACGAGAACGCAATGCAGCCGCCGCTGCGCTGCAAGATCAAATCGTGTTAAACGGACCTGTGTTACGCCTATGGGTGAGCTACAACGAGGTGGACACAACTCAACCCGATTTACCTAAAACTCGACGAAGCCTGGAGACAACATGTTCCTAACCAGCCACCCAACGAGGGTGGATCGATTAAAAAAACGAGCGTCCAAACCTTAAAGAATCACCATTTCGCACCAACGTTTCGCCTTTCCTGTCACCGCACCGTCTACGTCGAATTGAATCCTGTCGCTTATCTTCCTAGCCTCGTCCACAACCACCTGCCTGCTTCTCCGGGACTTCTCTAACTCCTACGCTTACATAACTCTAACGCTTATTAAACTCTAACACTTATCTAGCTCTAAGCTAACGCTGAAGTTCCATACACCCCTTCTCGTTGCAGCTTCTCCCAGAAGATCTATTCGCACCCCCTCAGGAGTTAGAGCCTTACCGTCTCAGCAGCAGAGCCTTACCACTCTCAGGTTCAAGCCTAACCGCCCTTACCTTGCAGGGCCTCCAGGGCAGTGGCAGCGCAGCGCGCATCGGCAAAATCCACAAAGCAGAGCACCAGCTTCTCGGCCTCACCGCCCTGCAAGGTAGAAGGGGAGGGGGACACGAGAAACAATGGATGGGTACAAGGGCATGTCTCCGTACAAGGCGAACAATGGAGTCTAGGCGCCTCAAAAGCGCAGGGCAGCAGGCATTCGCGAAGCCGGCGAATCAGAGCACTAGCTTGACCGCCTCTCCGCCCTGAATGGCAGGGAGAATGATAAAAACCGTAAATTCTATTGTTTTGTGAAGCGAATCGAAAGCAAACGAGCAGATTCTGGTGGTGACTTGAAAGGGCAGGCAGCGTACCCTGCGCACTTCCTTGGGCACCAGGCGCACCTCCTTGAACCCTATGAACGGCCGGAAGATGTCTGCGCAGGGGGGCGGTGGCGGGTGAAGGGGAGGGGAGGAAGGGGGAGGGAAGGGAGGAGGGGGGGAGGGGGGGTGGGGGGGGGAAGAGGGGGAGAGAGGGGAAAGAAAGGGAGAGAAGGGTAGGAGTGAATGACAGTGGAACGGGAGGGACGCACCAAGGAGAAGGAAAGTTCAAGAGGTTTAATGCGGTACAAGGGAAGGTGTACTCACGGTGGGACCCTGGTTATAACTAAACCTTCTTGCAAAAAGTATAACCAAAGTAAGGAGTTGCCTCGCACGTAGAGCAGAGAGGGGAGGATGAGACAGTAATGTACAGCCGGTCTCTCGCCCGGAACAATCCTGGTGGAGGTTGTCGATGTAGAGCGTCAGAGAGGGCCTTTGAGGGGGTATACTAGGAAGGGAAGGAAAGGAAGGAAGGGAAGGAAAGGAAGGAAGGGAAGGAAAGGAAGGAAGGGAAGGAAAGGAAGGAAGGGGCAGTAACGTACGGCAGGCCTCTCGCCTGGAGCAATCTGGCGGCAGGTTGTCAATGTAGAGCGTCGGGGACGCGTCGTGCGGGATGGGAAGGTCGCCCGGATGCATGTCCATCGGCGGAACCCCCGGGCCCCCTCCTGGCCCGCCCATTCCCCCGCCAGGCATGGGCATGGGCGGACCCCCCAGTCCGCGCGCCATGGGCGGGCCCGCCAGGTCCATTCCGCCGAGGCCCCGCATGCCCGACCCGGGGGGAGGCGGGCCCAGGTGGTCGTCCGGCATGCCGCCCAATCCGAGCGTGCCAGGTGGCGCCAGGCCAGGTGGCGCCATGGAGCTCTGTGGGTAAGGTTTGGGGAGTAAGAGGGGGGGGGGGGAGGAGAGAGAGAGAAATATGGAGGCAGGAGGAAGGTGGGGGGGGGGGGGAGAGAGAGAGAGAGAGAGAGAGAGAGAGAGAGAGAGAGAGAGAGAGAGAGAGAGAGAGGGAGAGAGAGAGAGAGAGAAAGAGGGAGAGAGAGAGAGAGAGAGAGAGAGAGAGAGAGAGAGAGAGAGAGAGAGAGAGAGAGAGAGAGAGAGAGAGCATGAGTCCCTCTCCAGCTATATAAGCTCTCTCCCTCCCTCATTCTTCCTGTTTAGTTTCCAGTTCTTTCTTTTCTCCAACCCTTGGTGGCGAGAGAGAGGAGAGAGAGAGCGAGAGAGAGAGAGAGAGCATGAGTCCCTCTCCAGCTATATAAGCTCTCTCCCTCCCTCATTCTTCCTGTTTAGTTTCCAGTTCTTTCTTTTCTCCAACCCTTGGTGGCGAGAGAGAGGAGAGAGAGAGCGAGAGAGAGAGAGAGAGCATGAGTCCCTCTCCAGCTATATAAGCTCTCTCCCTCCCTCATTCTTCCTGTTTAGTTTCCAGTTCTTTCTTTTCTCCAACCCTTGGTGGCGGCTCGCGTCGGCGGCCTTCGGCCGCCGACGCTCGCAGCGCGGCCTTCGGCCGCGCGTGAGGGGCGGCAAGGACACAAGGCTACAAAGTCAACTACGACAACATCAAATACACGCATCCGGGGTCTACAACCCGCCAACACTACACTCGGCAAACAAGCATGGAGAGCCTGACAGAGCTTACCAGAGCGCTCACGCTGGAGCGCACTTCACCAACCAGAACCTACACACGACGGCAGCCCATCATGCGGCTTCGTCCGCTCCAGCCTCCTCAAGCAGGGCCCTCACATAGTCCCCCAGGAGCATCAGCGCTGACACGGCACCGCCAACGATGTCTACAGCTGCAGCCGAGTCTACGCTCGCCGATACTGTCCGCATCACGGCGAGCAGGCGCGGGTCCAACACGGTTCCCGAGGCGGGCGCAGGCTGCACTCGCGTGGACACGACCGCCAGATCCGCTGCAGCCATCGCGCAGCGATGGAGCGGATCGTGAGGCATCTTGCACGGGCTCACTGAGCTCCGTAGAACGGAGTGTGAGTCCGTCAGCATCTCCACAGCATACCCCATCGCCCTCTGCGCGTGCCAGAGCCGACGAAGTGTGGCGATTGGGATCGCAGTCTCCGCCAGCCGCTCCCTCCCCCGCAGGCGCTCCAGCTGCGCCCTCTGCGGCATCCGCAGCCCACCCGAGCGACGCCGCCCCTGGTCCCCAGGAGGCGAGTCCTCGCCCGTGGACTCCGCTCCCCCCATCTCCGCTGCTTCTGCCCCCCCCTCAACTCCAGTCGGTGACGCCAGCGAACGGCGGGGGGGGACAAAGGGCGCTGTCGCCCGCCCGCCGAACGATGCTGGTGCCACCAACGGCGGTGGGCCACGGGACCTTCCCACCACCGACACATCCGGGGGCGTCGGCTGCCAGGGCGGCAGTATCTCCGCGGACCGCACGTCCAACCGACGCGGATCGAAGGGACCGGCCGAGGGAAGGACTGGCGGAGGAGGTGCAGAGGGAAGGGACGCCAAGAGGTGCTGGCTGTCAAGGAGCGGGAGAGATGTCACACTGCGGGGAGGGAATGCCGGCGCCGGTGCCTGAGGAAGGGGTAAACGCACGGGAGGCAAGTGCGCCTGCTGGTACTGCTGGGGCGCCAGAAGCTGCGGAGAATACGCCAGAGCCTGCTGGGGTTGGGCGACACTGCGGAACAAGCCCTCGAGAGTCGCCGCGGCCCGCCCTAGGCGCCTCTCCGCTGCGGACCCACGGTTACTCCCCCCGCCAGCCCTCCAGCCGGCGCGCTGGCCCGAACGCCCGCGCGGCGCCTGCGGAGTCCGGCGCTGCTGCCCTGGCCCCGCCTGTGGGCGGCGCTGAGGCGTTCCTCGGCGAGAGGGATGCTGCTGGCGCGGTGACTGCTGCACCTCGCCACGCGCCACTGGTTCACGTCCAATATCCAAGGCGCGCTCAGGGGATTTCTCCTCGTGTCTCGGGGGCGCGGCAGCCCGGCCCCGCGACTGCCCTCGCATCCGCTCAGGAGTCTGTTGGCGGGCCGCCGAGGGGACGAGGAGCCCGCTCTCCCAATCCCGGTTCGACGACGCCGGAGGACTCGCCCGACCTTGGGGGGACTCGCTGTCCCCAGTACTCTCCAAATCGGCAGAACGCTCCCGCGCTGGTCGCTCCATCCCGAGGAGGCGCACCGCACTCGGCTCCCCCCACGACTCGGCACGAAAGCCGAACGACGACCAGGGCCGCCCCGAGAGGAAACCACGGAGGCGGACGCGGAAGACTCCACACACGGACGGCCGGAGGGCGCGGTCGCGGGGCGGCAAGGCGTGGCAATCTGTCCTCCGACGGAGGACCGCTGAACGGTTTCCAGCAGGCAGCGAACAGGGCTTTAAGTGCCTCGGAACTGCAACGAACGACTGATGAGGAGGAACGGGCGGACGTAACTTATATACCAGGGAACCAGGGAGACCCCACGACTGAGACCTCCAGTGAGGAGGAACACGTCGAAGCAAACAGGCGCACTGGAGGACGAGAGACTGACCCATCTCCAAGATCTAGGGGACGAGGGTCCAGCCGTTTGCACAATACTCGGGCACCGCTGGACACCCACCCCCAGGCAGCCCAGCAGTTGTCCCCGGAAGAACTGGCGAATGACCCCTCCAGATTCGCCGTCATCGCCACGTGGGACGTCGCAGTTCTCTGCGACAGTCGCCAACCCCCTCTCTCCCGCCGGTTACCCCCCCAAATCCGTCAACTTTTCGCGCTCACCCTCCTGACACCCCTCCTTTTCCTCGCCAAACATCCAACCTCCATCGAGGGTTGGACCCTGTTACTTTACCTCCCGCGCCTCACACTTCGCCTACCCTCACCTCGACGCCCTGACTGGCCCGCGACGGAACGACGACTTCGACAATTTCTCGCGGGCCAGTGGGACACACTGTATCAAGCTGCTGCCTCTGCTGTCACCCTGCCACCCCCTCCCCGCCACGTACCTGACACTCTCGGGAAAATATCCCGCGCCGAGGGCTTGGTACGACGAGGCAGTTTGCGACGGGCACTGCTCGCGTTGACTTCGACCCCAGTCAGCAAGTCCACCCCCACGGTCCTGGACGCGCTGAAGTCAAAACACCCCCCTCCGCTTGTCGAAAGCCTCACCTGGCCACGGCTTGACGAAAACTGCAGGCCGCCGACAGTCGATTTCGCTACGTTCGCGAAGCTCCTCGCCCGCTCCGAAAATGGAGTTGGGGCAGGCCCCTCGGGGATGACCTTCGAGCACCTTCGCGACGCCTCGCTGTCCAACCCCACCGTCGCCACAAACCTCCACAAGCTCGTCCAGCGGTTACTGGCGGGTAACCTGCCGCACGAGGTCAGCCAGCTCGTTACCTCCTCACGCCTCCTGGCCCTTACCAAGCCAGATGGGGGTACCCGCCCCATCGCAATAGGGGAGTGTCTCCATCGACTGGCGGCAAAAGCCGCGCTAATCTCCTCCACGCAATCCGCGCAAGACTACTTCCTACCACACCAATACGGGGTAGCCATCAGGAGCGGCGGGGAAACAATCATCCACGCCACCAGGGGCTTTACCTCTGCGCGCCCGGGCTCACTCATCCCACAAGTCGACCTCTCGAACGCCTTTAATAGCGTTGACCGTGGGGCAATCATCCACGCAATCAACACCTCGCCCCTCCGCCCGCTCCTTCCATTTATCCAATTCTCGTATGGCGCGCCGTCTCTGCTCTATCTCGACGCTGAGTTTGATAGCCCGCCCCTACTCGCGCACGGGGAGTTCGCCAAGGGGATCCCATGGGCCCCCTCCTCTTCGCAGCAGCCATCCACCCAGCCCTCCAGGCAACCGCCGCGGCCCACCCCGAGGTCCTTTGCCTCGCATACGCTGACGACGTCACTTTCGTCGGCAACCCGGACGCCTGCACCTCGGCATTCCTCACCTTCACAGCCGCCATGGACCGCATCGGCCTCTCCCACAACCCCGCGAAATGCGCAGCATGGTCAGCCGAGCGCCCTGCACCCGACCGCCTTCCCCCAGACATACCTTTCAACACTGAAGGCGTCCGCGTGCTTGGCAGCTTTATAGGCACAGCCGAGGGCACAGCCGCTTTCCTCCGCACCCAGCTAGCCCTGCTAGCCGAACCCCTCGCCACACTGGCCACAATGGACCCTCAGTCCTCATCCCTCCTCCTCACACGCTGCGTGTCCCGGCGTGTCTCATACTTAACCCGCACCACCCCCCTTGACTTCCTACCCTTGGACGTCTGGTCCGACTGGGGTAGGGAGCTCTTCCATACCCTCCTGCGTGCCTGCAACCTCCAACCGCCTCGAGGGGAGGTGGAGCAGGCGCGCACTTGGGCTCAAGCGTCCCTCCCTCCCTCCCTTGGAGGACTGGGTCTAACCGACCCCGCAATTGAAGGACACCCAGCCTACCTCACCAGCCTCACCCAAGCCCAGGGCCTCTTGGCTGCCCTCCCAGCAGCGTCAGGAGGGCCCCTGGCTGACGCTGTCCGGCACCTCACGCCACCTTTCACCAGCCCCACCCACTTGCATACCTGGCTGGCGAAGTGTGAAACGGCGATGCCCCCACGAGCCCGGGAGCTCCTGCACTCCGAGAGGAGGGAACCCTCCGGCTCCCCACTCCAACACCGCTTATCCCTCGAAGTCCAGGCCGTGCGATACGCCGGCCAGGTGGCAGCCACGCGGACAATGGACCCAAACCCACTCTCTGGGCACACCCAACGCCTCTTTTCCCTGGCTGGATATGGAGCAGGGGACTGGCTTCATGCCATCCCCATCTTCCCATCACTCCGCCTCGAAGCTCCACACTTCGCCATTGCCCTGGCCTTCCGCCTCGGCCTTCCATTCCCAGCCCCCCGCACTTGCAACTGCGCCGAGGAATTTGAAATCCTCGACACTAGGCTGCCCAACCACCTGCTCCGGTGTGGCACCGGGCACGGTCGGACTGACACCCATAATGCCCTGCGGGACGAGAGCATACGGATGGCCCGGGATGCTGACTTTATAGTCACCAAGGAGACCACCATCTACAGCCCCGTAGACGGCCACAAGGCCGACCTCGCCCTCCGAGACCGCAGTTCCGGAGCCGTCTGGATCTGTGACGTCACTGTCACAGATCCCATCAGCAGCCGGGACCCGGACGCAAGAAAAGGACGCGGATACATGGCCCGGGAGCAAGCTGACAAGAAAATCTCCCATTACCGAAATCGGGCTCCGTATGTCGGATTTTTCCCACTTGCAGTCGAGACATACGGCTGCCCATGCGCCGAGGTCCCTACCTTCTTGAAGCTGCTGGCTGACACAGGGGCCAGGAGACTTTTCAATGCGGACCCCAGCTCCTACCAGGCCGCAAAATTGCTCCACCAGTTTCGCCAACGCTGGTCAGTAACGCTGCAGCGGGCACAGGCCCTGGCTTACCTGGGGAAAGTTAATGAAGCCTCCCCTGCCCCCCACACCCCAGTGGGCACCCCTGACGCCGACATGGCACCCGGGGACTGCTTTGCCATAGCAGAGCCCCTAGGGGAGCTCGTGTAGTTTCGAGCCCCCAAACATGCACGTACCTTGCCTTGCTGCCCCTTGCCTGCCTTGCCTAGCCTGTACCCAGTTTTCCAAGCAATAAACGGACCGCTTGAGAGAGAGAGAGAGAGAGAAATATAGAGGCAGGAGGAAGGCGGGGGGGGGCGGGAGAGAGAGAGAAATGTTGAGGCGGGAGAAAGGTGGGGGGGAGAGAGAGGAGGATGTATCACGGAAAGGGGGGACCAATCGCGGTAGGATTTACAGCGGATGACCGGAAAAATCTTTTCTTGCAGGAAAAATATTTTCTTGCTATTTACCGAAACAGCAGACGACCGGAAACTAGGACCTGAGGGCTGGTGAAACTTAGGCTCCTGCAAGAAAATATTTTTCTCTCTAAGAAGAAGGTGCTCAATTCAGGGGCTCCACAAGCCTCCTGAAACCAGATTGGAATGGGACGTACCAGATCGCCTTGTCTTAGCCGTGCAGGGTCCACGTCCCGCTTGCTGTAGGTGATTTTGAGAAATTTTAAAAATCACCCACTCCCTAGGAGTGCCGTAGTCCACCAGAGCCCCATACCTCCTTGGCGTTTTGAGACGTCTCAGAAGTCTCATAATAGCGCAACGTACGAGATCGCCTAATGTGATGCGACGTACCAGATCGCCTAATGTGATGCGACGTACCAGATCGCCTAATGTGATGCGATGTACCAGGTCGCCTAATGTGATGCGACGTACCAGATCGCCTAATGTGATGCGACGTACCAGATCGCCTCTTCTTAGCCCTGCAGGGTCGGCGTCCCGCCACCCGCCGGGAGCGCCGTAGCCCACCGGAGCCCCAGACCCCCTTGGCGGACCGCCGATCCCGCCGTACATCGCGGAACCAGGAGGCGGCGCGTCGTACTCTGGTTAAAATACGGAGGGTGTAAAATCGAAGCGGGGCAAGTCGCGGGAATTTAAGCGCTTTTTAAAACCGACGGAAAAATAAAAATAAAAATAAAAATAAAAAATAAAAAATAAAAAATCAGCGGCACCAAATCAACCGGATCTGGAAATAAAGGAAGAAGGGGCAAAAAGTTAAATGCTAAAAGTGTCAATAATGAAGTGAGACGAACCGTAATCCCTTCGGCGTTTGACATTGTTAGGCGGTGTCCCAGTACCCCGTCCGCGATCGGCGGCGTATCTATCGCCGTACCGGTCGCCAGCGTCATACCTCCAGTCAGCCATCCTACCGGACGCTCGGATCGGCACAACACCAGAAGTGAACCAAACAGAGGAAATCGCTGACAAAAGAATTAGCTGGTCTCCCTAATCGCTGACTTGGCCAAAACGCTTCACAGAGCTTCGCCTCGAGCGAGAGTTCGAATAGCACGCCCGGACAAATGTAGAGCGAACGATAAATCCCGCGCGCTGAACGCACAAGAAGATTAGAACCGGTTCAAACGACCAGGCTCTCTCGGAGTTCTAAATTGATGGTTCTAACTGATAACAGCATCGTGAAAGGGGCAGAATGGTAAGGTCGAGGCACTGGAGAAAACAAGGGAGCAGGCAAGCATGCCAAGAACAGAACTCTGGGCGGTCCAATATGGTGCATCATGATTTGAATCGGTGAAGCTCGAAAACCACTTCCAAACGTGTCGCACCGAACATCACCGCACAAATGGCATGCGGAACATTTTCTTGGGACGAGTCCGTCCAACCAACGCCCCTCATTTGCAAATTCGCAGAACACGGTTGTGTTAGGTTCGGTTCGTTGCTTAAATGTGTTAACACAAACAAGGCAAAAGAAAAAGCAAGCGAAGGGTAGATCAATCCGCATATTCGTGTGAAGCTCCTCCTACCAACGCATCACTTCTCAAAGTGCCCTATCCTTCGCTCCACCTTATTGGGCTGAGGATAGCCCTAGGATCTTTTGCAGAAACTAAGTCTTAGAGTTAACGACTAACTAGAAAGAGTGATACAATGTGATTTTGTCCTAAGTGTTGTACTCTCTATGAGCATGCACCTATCTAGCCTAAAACATATACAAATATATGTTGACACACCCCCTACACTAGACAAGGGGCAACGACTAGCACGAGACACGTAGCTCAGGGTGGCACTACTAGTCCAACCTCTGAGGCAAGGGTCCGAAGACCAGTATGAAAGAGTACAAAAGAAACTAGAGCAACCCAGGGCGGCACTACTAGTCCAGCCACTGGAACATAAGTCATAAGGCCAGTCAAGATAATATAACATATAGTACACAATCAAGGTCCTAGCAAATGAGAAGCTACAGGAACTAGGGCAAGCTGTACATGGCAACGCTAATGATCTTTAGGCGGAAGCGCCTTAGTAAAGATATCTGCTGAGTTGGCGTCGGAGGCCAAGTGAACTACGCAGGCCTCGCGTCACTGCTGTAGATACGCAGGAGGAAGTACCGCAACTGGATGTGCTTCGCTCGGCCCTCCATTCGATGCTCCTAGCACAGGAAGATCATGGCCCTGCTGTCAGCGTACAGGACCGGGGCAGAGCTAGGCCGCTCACCTAAGTCTGTGAGCAAGAAGGTCAGCCAGCGGAGCTCCTGTGCCGCCATGGCACCAGCGTACATCTCAGCCTCACAGCAAGGCTGTGCAACAGATGACGAGCGGGTGGACCTCCATGAGAAGGCGCCTGCACCAAGGCCAAAGCAATAGCCCTCGGAGGACCTGAGTGTCTCAGCGTCGTCTGCCCACGAAGCGTCTGTGTGCCCTGTTAGGACCACTGGCCTGCGTCCTCCCTTCACTAGCCCCATGCCCGATGTACTTGCTAGATAACGCAAAACCCTCTTAGTTGCCGACCAGTGCTGTGGTCATTGTCTGCCTGTCACCACAAAGCGAGCCAGGATGCTCAAAGGGTATGCGAGATCTAGACGAGTGCAAGACAACAAGTACATGAGGCAACCCACCAGCTCTGCTTAAGGACCATTAGCCTCTACAGACTCCTCATGGACTGGACCCGAAAACCTGTGATCTACTGGTAGAGGTTTGGGCTGTGCGGAGGAGAACTGAAGACCGAACCTCTGAAGGACCTGGCCCACCAAGTGTGACTGTGTGAGAGTGATGGTGCACGCTGCTCTGTCCCTGGAGATCTGCAGGCCAAGGAAGCGGCGCAGCTCTCCTAGGTCAGTGCAGGTGTGTCTCCTCAGCAGCTCAGCCTTCTCGGAGGCCAGTGCGTCTCTGTCTGCAGTAGCGAAGACCATGTCGTCTACGTAGACAAGGATGTAGAACGGGGTCTGGCCAGAACGAACGAAGAGCGAGGGGTCTGCAAAGGACGGGAAGAACTGCTAGTCAGCTAACGTAGCATGCAGCGTGTCGTATCACTTACGGGGCGCCTGCCGCAGGCCGTAGACCAGGCGAGAGAGGAGCCACTTGGTCCCAGGGGCGAAGGTGCCGGTGAAGCCGGGCGGACTACGATGTGGAGAACTCGTGGGAGTGCAGCTCATATTCACGCTATGCTACTACGTATAGCAACGCCCAAAGAGTGGTCATCTTCGGGGTCGGGATGAAGGACTGAAAGAAGTCAACACCCTCGCGCGTCTAAAGCCTCTGGCAACGTTGCACGCCTTGAACATCGACGACTCTCCAGGAGTGCGCTTAACCTTTAAGAGTCATCGGCCATCGACTGCGTTCACCCTAGGTGGGGAAACTGTGTTGATGTAGGTGCCGATGGATCTCCAAGATGCCATCTCCACGTCCATAACAGCTGTCCACTTAGAGGCCACGGGTTCTGAGGTCGCCTCAGCGTAAGTGCGAGGGGTCAGGATGTCAAGGGCATCCGGGTCACCCTTAGGGACTAGCAGCATGGAGCAGAGATGAAGAGCGGCCTCGGATAGGAAAGCGAGCTCATTCTGCCGGTCCTCCAGAACGTCACTGCCAAGGGCAGGAGCACCCCCGACAGACGGAGGACGGGCAGGGTCGGAGACCAGAGCGGTGGCGTGGCGGCGGGTAGAGGCAAATTCAACGACGTCAGCGACAAGACCATCAAGACTAGAGACAGGAATAGACGGGTCGGTAACGAGGGAGGTAAGGACCCGAGGAACAAGAGGACTAGCGGTAGAAAGGAAGTCAGACAGATGAGGCGGAGCAACAACAAGCGACGACGGAGGAGGCGACGGGAGGAAGGGAGGACAAGATGCGTGGGAACGAAGCAACATAGGTTGAGAACGTGGAGCATGAGAGACAGGACGAGCACGGGAGGAACGGCGAGACCACCAATGGGAGGGGTGGGGTCGGGTCTGGAGACAAGGGTGGCAAAACAGGAGGAGAATGAGGGGGGAAGCAAGCCGGAGACGAGCCCGGCGGAAGAAACACATAGCTGTAGACATGCGGGGGAGGCAGTGGCGAGAGTGGCGCAGGCGGGTGGTCAGAGGAGGGAAGACCGAGGAGGCGAAGGGCGTATATCGGCGGTGATTGCTGCTGCTGCGGCTGCTCCGCCCCGACACCAGAAATTGCAGCTGCACCACGGCTACCTCCAGGACCCTCCACGCCAACACTCATAGAGCGAGAACCCTCACTAGCATCGGTGCCACCCCTAGGACCGTCGGGGGAGCCACGATATTAACCCCAAGATGAGCACCCCCTGAACCAGCACCCGTAGAACAAGAACCCTCTCCAAATTCGGTGCCACCCCTAGGACCGCCAGGACAAGCCACGATAGTAACCCCAGGACGAGCACCCTCCTCAAATCCCGCACCCCCAGAGCTCGCGGACCCCTGCAGCGGCTGCGGCTGTGGTGGCGGCAACGGCGGCTGCTGCTGCGGCGGAGAAGGAGTCACCGGGGCGGAGACAGGTGGCGAAACTAGAGCCGGAGGGCCCCCAGAGTCAGCCGACTCCTCTACCAGGACAACGGACGGGAGGGGAGTGACGTGAAACACACCAGTCTGGGCAGGCTGGGGAGGAAGAGGAGCAGGGGCTATTGAAGGGGTGGGGACCAGGAATAGGGGCGGGGAAACCAGGAGACCTCGGTGGGGAAAGCGGGTGTAGAAGGAGACAGACTCGTGAAAAGTGACATCACGAGAGTGGAAGAAACGGTGATACGGCGGGTGGTAAAAGTGAGAGTCTGACGCGTTAAGGGGGAGATTAAAGAAGACACGAGGGATGGTGCGGGCAGTGAGCTTGTCCGCACTAGAAGCATGAACGTGAGTAAGGCAGCCCCAGACGTAGAACGCATACGCGTCACCAGAGAACCTGGCCCAGACAAGGGTTGGCTAAACATGCGGCCGCTGGGAGTGCGGCCACAAGTTAAGTTGGTGAGCGGCGCAGCAAACAACGAACTGCCACAGAAAATGGGGTGCACCGACATGGATCATGGAGGTACTAGCCACCTCCATGACCAAGCCGATGTGTCGCTCAGCGACTCCATTCTGCAGCAGGCAGTCCGGTAGGATGTACGACTGGGTGATGCCCTCCGCACGACAAAACTGGCCAAGCCTACTTGAGGCGAACTCGCCAGTATAGTCGGAGTGGAGACGCTGCGCGGGGAAGTCGCGGTGGACTTGCACAGCTATGACCCATGAGATACGAATGCCAGACATGTCGGCCTTACGCTCCAGAGGAAACACCGTGGTGTACCGTATGTAGTCGTTGTCAAGAACTAGAAAGTAGTGCTCTCGACGCGGCCCAGGGACGGGGGCTGGGCCCCACACGTCCAGGTGCAGGGTCTGGAGTTTCGCACTGGTAGGGGGAAGCGAAGAGGAGTGAGGAGCACTGCGCAGCCAGCCCTCGATGCAGGGCATGCACGGCGGCACAGGAAAGGGAGGGAGGGCAGGGAGCATCGCAGGGAGACCTAAGGCAAGATAGTGCTGGGACATGTGACGCAGGCGTGGAAGTGCGGGGTGACTTAAGCGGTGGTGCGACAGCAGCGACGGGTGGGTGAGCGATCAATAGGAGCAGGCCGCAGTGACCTGGGTAGACGCAGAAACCTGGGGGGACGCCCCCACCGGGGGGGACACTGTATCAAGTATAAACAAGCCAGACACCGGATCCCGGGGGAACCTGGTGAGAGGGGCACTAGTGGCGGCCTCGGTACAGACTGAGTACCGCTCGTGTCCAAGAAACGTAGTGGTGATGCTGAGGTCTTGAAGACAGCCGACACCAACTAGGTTCCTGGAGAACGAGGGGATGTGCGAGCCTGTAAGAGAGCCCGCGGGAACCGCCGGACAAGGAAGGGTAGTGGAGCTACAGGCAACTACCAGAACTGAAAAGGGGTCAGCAAGCGCTACAGCGGCAGGGGTGGCAAGCGGCGTGAGCGCAGTGTGGTCATGAAAGAAGCAGACGGATGCACCAGAGTCTAGCGTGAAAGAGAGCGCGGTGGTAGCGGCCGCAGGCGGAGGAGCTAGAGTGGAGTCGAGGCTAAACAAGACAGGTGGTCCTACGCTTGACGCAGCAGGGAAACATTGGCTACACACAGTGGCCACACCTACACTAGTGAGCACCGGGTAATAGGGTCCAGTCACACTTGAGTCATCGGCATACA